TGGCACGGGAACTCGGGAAATCACTGAAACTACGTACAGTGGCTGCAGACGCTACCGGAAAAAGGAAACAATTCATGATCCTGGGCTTGATATTGAATCGCCGGTTTGTGATGTTTTTTTCTATGAAGGAGTGTTTTTCTGGATGATTCTTGGGCATTTACCAGTAGCCAGTTGTTACAGATTAATTTTTAACTTAGCTAGCGTCAGTTACTGAGGTACAGTCTCAGACAAAAATAGTTGGGACACTTCCATTTAACGCTGTTTCTTACCTTCTTGCTCGTCTCCTCTCCCTTCCAATGTTGTTTGTCGCAGTTAACTCGTCAAATCGTGTGCACAAACATTGGCAGGGCCAGAAGACAGTAAAGTGTCCCAACAATTTTGACGGAGACTGTAGTAAATTATGCATTGATTAATATGTGTAGAAGTAATGTTGGTGTCAATTTGTTCATTGTGATTAATCGATCATAACTAAATTTCCTTCCAGCATAAAGGTTATGTAATGCCAATTAATACCTACTTACATGTAAATGCAAACTTTTTTCAGCCAAAGATAAAACAAATCAATACAAGTGGTGTTTTGATGGCAACTCTTTTACAAATTTCCTGCTAAAGAGAAATTTATTTGGCAAGCAATCACATAAGAACTCTATCTTAAGTGTACATTCCTGGCTAAAAATCCCTGATGAAGTGAATTAAAAGCTCACATACAATCTAGGCTAAATTTCTAGCTACTGAGGACTAAAAGTCTGAGTCAGTCAGGTTTGCTTCCTTCTCCTGTGTACTAAGGAAATCAGGTGCAGAAAGTGGCCAGTCATTGAACCCAACATGGGATTATACTCACAGAAATTATGTAGAATCTTAACAATAATTATGATAATAATAATAATAAAAAAAGAGACTGTTGAACTTGAATGCACGGCAAGTGAACAGATAAGAAACAGATTGGCTGAACAGCTGGATGGCTAAAGGAAATTTTTGAATGGATGAGGTGGAACAGCCGAAAAGAAAATGTTTGAACATATGTAGCTGAACGGCTAAAGGAAACTTTTGGTTGGATGAGGTCAAACGGCTGAAAATTTCATCACATGCCCTTGGGTAGCTAAAAATAGAAAATTGACAAAATAGTGCAGTTGGTTTCTTAGAGCCTTCTCAGGAAGGCCACTGATAGAAGCTTTTTTCCCTTCTGAAAGGGTCATGTGCGTCACAACTGGAAGACCAGATGGTTCATTTTATACGATGAGACACTGGTGTACTTTAAGAAGAAAAACCAGGTTTGTTGATGTAAGATTTAGTTGTAGAAAAAGTGTTTGGAAAGATAATTGATAAAGAAAATGCAAAGGAAATTAATGTTGAATGAGTGTTTGGAAATCAGATGAAAAACTGCTCCTTTTTGCATCCTTAATTTCTCCTTCTAAAATCATTTTGTTTGAGAAGTGATATCAAGCATTTGACACAGTGTTTCATCACCAGATGAAACACCTCACAGTTAATCAAAATACTCCACCGTGCGTCATATTTTCAACTCTCTGCTCAGTGTTTCATCTGGTGATGAAACGCTGCGTCCCATGCTTGATCTATATTCACATCATGCATGTGTTTTTGACTGTGAATTTGCCAAAATGTGAAAATGGCTTTGTATTGTGTTACACCTACAGATTATGCAAGCAACTGGTGAGATTCCTCTACAAGGTTGCTTTTTAGTGTCACCATGTGCAGAATACACCAAAAAGGAGGTATTTTATTATTTCATTTTATGTTTCTTGTGTGGTCCGGTGTCCCAAGCTCATGTTGCAATGGTTAAAGGAAATATACTTTTGGTGACATGGGTGAGTCCATATTGCATTACAGGTGACAGTTAAGACATTGTATCAGACTCACCCAAATCACCCACACTCGTAACATGAGGTAAGGATGCCTTTGGTGTGATTACCATGGGAACAAACATGTTCAACTGCAGGTATCTTTAGTTCGGTGCACCAAGGTCTTGAACCCTAAATGAGTGATATGGGAAAGGGAAATGGCATAATGTGTGCAAGGGATTGGAAGTTTTTTCCATTCTGTTCTCTAGCGTAGTGTACCAGCTACTTGCAACTTTAAGAGTGATGCAACCCTTCAAGTTAAAGTTTTTGCTTGGTCACCATTTGGCAACCAACTCTTTTGGTTTAGAGAGACTTTTTTACAAATCAAGTCACCAGGTTGCCATTTGGAAAATGGTTTGGGCATGCATCTATAATCCATAATCCACTTACTGCATATCTTGCCCATAAAGGATGTTGAATTTTGGTGCAGGCATTTGATTTGTAACTTACATATTTAATATGTAATACAGTAATCACTGTATTGGTGAGTGGAATAAATCATAATTGGGAGATGCAGACCATGTGGAAATGGAGGGTGGGGTGGCTGGCATGGGGCTCTTTTTCTCTATCCTTTCTCTAGCTCAATAGGATAAACACTTGACCACTACATTAGGGGGGAGAATGGGGCTTTCCAGGATAGGAAAATGGGGTTGGCTGTCAAAGGGTCAAAGGGTAAGACCATATGGCCAATAATTTTTCTTTTCTTTCTCATTGGGTTTTGGTGTGTAAAAATTCTAGGCTGTCTTCAGAATAACATCAAAGGATAATGTTGAATATTTAGTTCAAGCAGCAAATGATGAAGAGCGTGAGGAATGGACCACAGCAATTGCCAATGCAATCAGAAGATTAGACATCAAGTATAAGGTAACATGCTTAGCTAAAAATGTTTGTAATTCCCTCAGGTCCAGTTTGTCATTTTTTAGTCTGGATGGGGAATTAAAAACTGACCCAACTGAAGTGCAGGGTTTGGTAAGAATGTTATTTTACATGCTCGGTTACAGCAGAAGTGAAGTATAGGTGAATAAATAGCACTGTGTGAAAGTATTATTGCCTAGTAGCCAGGGCTGTGCTTCAAGAAAAATTGCAGGGAGCCCAAAGCTCTTAACCAGCATGAAATCCAGGTGTACCCAGTGAATTCCTGATCTCTCAAGGGCAAAAGTAAGTCGCTGTTGTAGCTAATTTTTTATCTCAGGTAATTTTCCTTTTTCTTTTGTTTCAACTTCATTAGCATGCATTAATTACCATACCCAAAAACCAAAACAAAAAACTACAACATCGCCATTGGCCATCATATTCTGCAAGAGCATATTTGCTGAATTACTTAGGCCGGGAATCATCCCAAGCCGTCCTAATAAACTCTTTCCACACGACCTGATTGAGCGTGGCACAGCATAGCTTTCATTTACACGTAAATGGCCACTCATGGTAATTTTTCCAGTCAGAGAATGAAAGTTAGAACTAATAGTAACCTCATTACTCATTAACTGTATTTTCCTTTAAGCATACAAAGTCTGAAGTTCCTCACAGCAGAAGTACTTACTCAAGGCCAGCTTTGCAGTTTCCACCCACCCAAATAAGGTGCTATGAAATAATGTTTCCTGGTTGTTTGTGCCTGTGTCCCGAAATATCATGCCAGTTTTGGCTTATGTTAAGGTCACCAGAAGGAAAGCCTTGATGGTGTCTGATGCCTAATTATTTTATCTTTAAGCTTTGATAGAGTTGATTGGTAAGGTGTACTTTCCTATACGGCTAAGTGGAAGCTTCTTTTCTTTGCCAGCAATCTAAAGTGTGATTGCCACAAGAAGTCAGCGTCATGAGTTTCAGAGCAGAAAATCTGTAAAGCGAGCGAAAATGCAAACAGCCAAGCAAAGGTTGTGAATTCTTGTGAGTTTCCAAAGGCCAAATTAAATAGGGTTAAGGACTTTCTTGAATATCTCACGTTGCTCCACTTTGTATTTTTTAACTTTAAAGTAAAGTTATTTCGGTGATTCAGTTGATCAATGTGGTTCTATGCATTTGATTATTTTTACTTAATTGTTGTTGTTGACTTATTAAATAACATTATACTTAAAAATTAAATTTATTTTAGAGAAATAGTAGAAGCAATGCAAGATGTTGATGCGGGAATACCTCTTGATACCCACATGTGTTACAAAGAAAATAAGGCGCACAAACTCTGTTTTACTGGTGAGAATATCGTGGATAATTACATTCTTTATTTATTCTGATTGGTTGGAAAACACTGTGCTCAGGAGTGGAAACTTACTTTTGCAGGAATTCAAGTCATTGACTGGTTACTAAGGTGGTCATTTGTACACAACAGGGATGCAGGAAGGGACTTGGCTTGTGTGTTACTAGAAGATGCCCATCTGCAACCTGTAGGACTAACAAGTACACTCTCATTCAAGCAGAAAGCAGAGTTTGAAAATGCTGCCACCTTTCTTGATGACACAGATGCCCTTTACAGATTTGTAAGTAGTTTTTTGGAAGCACTGCTGTACTTCAATAATTTTTTCTGTGATAATATAAAACAGAGTAACATGAATGTTCTTTTTTGCCAGTCTGCGCTTAGACATAGCGCTCAGAATGAACCTCTCGAGTTAGAGATTTCTGATGGTTCCAGTGATTCAGAGGATGAGATCCCAAGAGATCAGGTATTACTGAAGATGAGGAAGGGTCATTTAGTGCTGGTTCCTTGAAAGATGGTCAAGATTCATGTGAAGCTTATAAAATATTGTTGAGCCTATTTATCCAGAGATCCTATTATGATGACACAATTAATGATACTTTACAGTCTTTAGGAAAGGAACATACAGGCGTGGAATAAAGCATTTTAATGGTAGTGCCTTTCAGGAACTGGCCCTGATATTTTGGTACTAGACTTGATTTGCTTTAATTCTTGCTGGAGAGCAAGAGATGCTCTAGGAAAAGACGAACAAAGATATTTACCAGTTTAAATGATGTAAACCTTTTGTTTGCCTTGTCTCAGTATGTCCCTTGCTCTCCAGTATGGCGTTTTTGTACCATGTGAGTGACTAGCCACAAAAGGTCTCAGAGGTGACCAAAGTCAAATGAGACAGAAATTCCAAATTTCATTTTATAAAATGTTGAAAAACAAATATATGTACCACTAATCCAACTTTTAGCTTCATTTTCAATAAATATTGACTGTTATCTTACACTTTGAAGTTACACCTGTATTAAAGACTTACACCTTATTATTTAAACTCTTCTCTGAGTTTTAAACTGAATTAATATGAGTTCTGGCCAGACTTTCAATATTTCACATTTTACCTGACTTTTGACATCAAAATATAATTTATATTCATTCCTTGTTTCAACCAGTGTGGGGCTATCAAAGGGAATGTTGTCAAGCAAGGGTTTCTTCAGAAAAAGGTATGCATACTTGTAGCCCACTTTAGACTGCAAAACAGTCCGTATTTTTGCATATTCAAGTACGTGCGAGCAATCAAACAAAAGGTCCGGATCGCGCGCTTCACGCAAGTAAGACTATACACAACTCCTAACTGAATTCTTTACTGATTTTGAGAAAAAAAACAACTTTTTTGCAGTCTAAGCCCAAATTTTCAGTATTAACATTTCATATATGGTCCAACCTCCCCCAAGCGACCACCCAAAATGTGAAGAGTTAGTGGTTACCTATGAGAGGTGGTCGCTTACGAGAGTTGAACTGTAGGAGGTCTTCTATATATGAGAAAACGTCTGGACAAATCTAATTTTTGGAGAAAATGTATTACAAGCATTTTTTTGCGGGTTCCAATAACAATAAATGTAAATCCATGTTGTCTTTTAAAGTTTTTCTCATATTCTGAGTTGTAACCTGAGTATCGGACCCTCCTTAGGGGAAAAGAAAGCCTGATTCAGGTTATCTGAGTGTCATAATACAGTGAACACAAAGATCAGACCATTGCATGAGGTGGTCGCTTAAGGAGGCTAAAAGCAATGGATAATTACAACCCCGTCCCCCTCTTAAAAAGTGGTCGCAGTCACTTGCGAGAGGTGGTCATTTAAAATAGGTTTCAACTATAAGTCTGTGACTGGGAAAATTTTGGTGTTTTGGATAACCAATAAGTGGTCGCTTATGGGAGGTGGTTGCTTACAATAGGTGGTAGCAAATGGAGGTTTGACTATAATTTATGTTGTCAGCTTAGATTACTTTGTTTATATTGTCTTTCTTGCCTGGGAACATACTTTTGGATCTACTTTGCCAAGTGACAGAAATCTTCCATTCACTGAAATCTTTGGGAATTTCCTGGACAGTTATGCTTAAAATTAATGCAAATTCAAAACACTTTCAAATATCATTTATACTCAGCAATGATAGTCATAATAATTTTTATCAACAGGGTCATGTCCGACACAACTGGAAAACAAGAAAATTTATCCTTTGTACTGAACCAACCATGTTGTTCTACTGCCGACCGTCTAAGGTAAGAAGAGTCTCACCTCAGCCTCCACTGATCAGCCAGTGTCAATGTAAGAATACTGTAAACTGCCTTTTATAAGCCTTTGGCTTATACATCTTCATAAGGTGTTTTTAGGAGGGTTTGTAAACACAGTTGCTTATAGGCAAGAGGCCAAAAGAGAGTGTTTCGAAACAAGCCATTCACCATTTTGCACTTCTCCCATAATACACCTTTTTTGCCCCCCAAAATTTTGCATAGCCTTTGTTTCTCATTTCTCCTGGGTATATGGAAAAAACCCATTTTTTTAGAAAGCGCTTAGATTAGATTAGAGTAATTAAGTTATGTTTTTAACTGGCAAATGACATTTACTACATTAATATTGTTATTATTTTATGTCAATTTCCATTTTTTAAAATTTTTTATTTACCTGCTATAAGAAGGAAAGAGTAACATGCGAATTCCTATTTCACACCAAAACATGTCATTTTCCACCCTGGTTGTTAGACCTGGCATTGGCAGAAAATACAATAATAATAATATTGTTATCATCATTACTTAGATTAGAATGCCAACAAAAAGATTTCTTGAAATCAACGTCGAATTTGCATATTACTCTTTCTTTCTTACTCATTTAGAAATCTATCAACAAATACATTCATACACTCCTGTAGTTCCTTCAACTGAACCATGACCACTTCCAGACCAAAACAGACAAAGTCTAAAACCCTTTGGGCATCACATATGTACATGACTTATATAAGGCAGTAGATCACCCCCGCGGCTGTAATATTCCAAAATGAATGACCCTTTCTACTAACATTGAAATGTTTCAATGTTTTGCTTCTCTGTTACTGTAAACTGCCGCTTATAACCTCCCATCATCCCCCCCCCCACTTATAGGCCCTCCCTGTTACAGGTCCAGGATCAGGATTTGGAGAACCGGGTGGCACACCCCCACCAAGAATTCCCAGGAGTACATGTACCCACCCGGGTATTACAGTGATAGTGTGTTTTTAGTTCTCCGACATAACCACCAGTTATTCTCATTCATTCTCCACTCTGCAATATGTCCTCTCTTTTTTCGTAGGAGTCTACTCCGGTTGGTCATATAAAATTACTCAACAGTGAAGTAAAGACTCTAAAAAGTGATGATGATCTTGCTGGAGCCGAATGGGATCAAGGTAATGATTTTCAGCCAATAATTTTTTGTACCTGTTTACTGTAATTGTTATTAGGACTGTTTTTACCTGCCAACTTTTTCTGACTCAGATGCGTAAGATTTTCGTCTTATTATTACTGCAATTTCCATAAACGTTCCAGCGACTTCCGAACATTTCATAAGATTTTCCGGAAGACTTTCGAACGTCCGAAGATGTTTCGACGACCTTCGAGCACTTTTGAAGCCATTTCAAAGGTAGCCTGAGTATCAGGCGTTTCTGGGGGAAAAGGAGAAAGATGGAAACCTTCAAAAATCTCCTCTACCCTATCCCCTTAGGAAGGCCTGATACTCAGGCTATTTCAAAGGCGATAATTTTAGCGTGTTGTGATAAAGTTTGGACACAAAAGCACAATAAAGCGAAAACTCTCCTTGATTTTTGACAAACATAGTATAGTGCAGTCAATTCTTGAAACCAGAAATCAGAAAATCTTTTGAAATCAAGCCTGTCATTTGTGTTACTTGAAGGTCTGAGAAAAAATAAATGGAAATAAGGTCTTTGAAAGGAGGCCTTAATTTAAGCAAATTGGCCAGTTTTGTTTTTGTTCAAGCTTGTAATTTATTGCATTATCGCGATCTAAAATAAATCCCAATAATTATAAGGTGATGGAGCTTGTGAGATTTTTTCCTTGATTTATAAGTTTTTTCAGATAGGGTTACCGTAAAATTCAAAATAAAAACCATTGCCCCCAAGGAACATAAAAACCCTCTGTTAAATTGTGTGTAGCCTGTAAAACAAAGCTAACTCATATATATTTTGCAAATTTTCCTCCATAGATTAGACAAGCCCTCCAAAAAATAGCCCCTCAAAAGGGCCTTTGAAAAACATGTTGGATAATCGACTACTGTGAATGGTGGTTAATTTTGTACAGGAAACAAGAAGCAGACAACTGGATATACCTTTCTTCTGCGTACAAGGAAAGGAATAAAATACATTTTTCGAGCGGCATCCGAGGAAGACAGGATGGACTGGGTACAGGCTTTACAATCTGTTTGTGAAAATACCTAACAAGAGACGGAGGCTCTCTGCACTGGCCTGCACATGCGTGTTAGCCTGTTCCAGGCATTCGGATTGTAGAGCGTCTGAAACAGGCTTCCTGCGTGATAGAGTCGTGAGTGCGACCCTTGTAAATTAGCTCCCAGCAAGTCTGAAGTCCGCGCCATAGTAACGGACCCAAGACCTCAAAAAAACTGCATGACAGCAGCATCCCCAATAAGTTTCTTATTTTGCCTTTCTAATCAAATAGTGGGGATAAAGAGGTCAAACGAGCAGGTCAAACTGGGTCAGTGATATCCATGCATTTTAAATCGCTATAAAATTCCACTAAACCGCTCATTTGTACAAGTCGGGTACGGCAGTTAAAAAGGAAACGGTTAATGGATCAAGATGATCATTCTGAGCTTTTTACGGGGCTTGCTGTGTGCAGGGCTCGCTTTTTTTTTCTTTTTTTTCCTGTTTACTTTTCTTTGCCCTTCACTATTATGATGTCAACAGCAGAAACATGCTAGCGAGATTATAACCATAATTCCTTTGTGTAAAAAAGTGAAAAGACGTACGTGAAAGAATAGGTTAACAAACAAATTTTTAAGCTTATATGCAGACAGTTTATACCGTAATATATAATTCAACAATTTAAAATAAAACAAAAAAGAAACAATCGACACGCGAGCGTCAATATTATTATTCTAAGTAACTGAGTTTATTTTCAAATAACAACTTCCTCTAGAGGCTCTTGTAGAGGTTGGCATGAGAGTATCACTGCTTTCTACGCTCTTCCCAACCTGCCAGCAGTGAGAGCCTCCCCAGAAATGACTTACCAATGCTCCGGGGTGGGGGCGGCGGGTACCGCCATATATATGGGCTATAGAGGTATGTGCCGCTGTGAAGGGTATGGTTTTCAAGCAGTTTACTCTAGGATAGGGTATATAAATCTGAGCGTTTGGGTCTAGAGTAGGGTATCATTTTTCAGGAAACTGATCAGTTGGTTAAAGATTTTATCCAGACGAGGGATTGCGATATAAGGTTTTGTTTTGGCTAGACTGTGCTAGTGACCTCAGTAGTTTCTGGAAAACAGCTACTAATACTAATACTAATAATAATAATAATAATAATTAGTAAACAAGGCAGAAAACGCCAAACCAAATAGTGTAAAGTATGAGGAGACCTGCTCCCAGATTTCAGATTTTTATTGAAATCGTTCATCAGAAAATTCGTAACAACTTAAATTATGATAAAATTTTTCATTCGAATAAATTATGTGTAAACCTTATATTTTAGGTATAAAAAATTCTCGTCATCCTCGTCACCTGGGAGCGATTTGCTCCACTTTTCTTCGTTTTGCGTTTTCTGTGAAAAGAAAGGGAGAAGAAATCAGACATTGCATTGCGAAAAGCAGCTTTTAGACTGTGTGCTTTGCAATATTTCACAGCAAAACTGTCCTTACTCTAGCTGATTTTTAAATACTAAATGTACCTTAAAACTTTCACATAAACTGCAGTTTCGTAGTCTGTTCACAGCCCCTATTTTTTCGTAAGATCGTCAGCATCGAGCACTTACCTTTAAGGGCAGCCATCTTGGTTTCATATGTACCGAGGGGGCGTTTGACACTCATTCAAGATGGCCGCCCGTAATACTAAGACTTCTCGACGATCTTACGGAAACATAGGGGACTGTGAACAGCCTAGCAGTTTCGTCTCTGTCCCATCAAAAACTTCTGTGATACTTACAGTCAGCCTAATAATTAAGGCTATATAAATGACCTGAGGCTTTATAATTAACAATTATTCCTCTCGCATTAGTCCGTTTATAACTCTGCATCAGGGTTCATAAGAAAAATTGCAATCATTTTTTTGAGGACTTTTGAAGGACCTCATTGACTCATTGGTGATTTTCCTCGCAACCAAAAAACATTTTCCATTCCACTACATTCAAAGTTAAAGAAACGTCAAGAACTTTTCAAGGACTAGCACAGAAATTTAAGGACTTTTAGTTTTCAAGGAAAAATGGAATTCAAGGACTTTTCACAAACTCCCCCTAAAATTCAAGGACTTATCACTTTTCAAGACTGTGCCAACCCTGTTTATACAAAACTAAGGGTTTTCACAGGTTTTAAAGTTTGTCCACAAGTGAACAACTGAAAAAAAAGGATGGAATGTAATTAAAACAAGGAACGGGAATGAGAAAATGAAAAATGGGTAATCCTGCTACTTAACGGTATCTGGCCAAGGATCTCTTTACCGGTAATCCTTTTGAGTACTTGCTCCGCCTTTTGTGGCTATTTCTCAGAAACAAGTCGTTCCCTTTACCAAGCACCCGTTCCTAGCACGAAAAGAAAGTTGGACGAGCGTGCTCACCGTTTTTCCCATGCTTTTTGAGCGGGAAATTGACCAATCACAAGCGTTATAACGCGTGGCAAGTGGCGAGGCAAGCGTTTGTTGCAAAACTATGGATCGGATAATAGAAAGAGTCTTTCTAACCCAGGTCTACTTTACGCAACACATTGCCTTTGTTTCATATTCTCTCTCATTTGAGATCCTGGGACCGAACTGAAATCTGGCTTACCTGGCTGATTTGTGAGGGCAGAGTTGGCGGTTTTGTTTGAAACAGGATGAAAAGGCTTGGAGAAGGAGGACTGCTTATTAATGGTTCTGTAGTTGCTGGTGTTGTTACTTGAATGTGTGGAGTTAATTGGGGCCGATACACGATGACTGCTTCTGTTATCGATGCTAGAATAAGAAATAGTTAAAACTGTATTAACAGTGGGAAATATCTACAATGCTCATCGACCAACAGCCCATTTTAAAGGGGAGATATTTCAATTGATGTTTGAAAATTTCAACTATAAACCAGCTAGTCACAGAGCTCACTGAAATCTGAAAACGTGGTTTTTATACTCAAAAGAAGAGGGGAAAGCCAAAAGGTGTGTGGTCCAGGAAAGGATTAACGTCAAATGATAAAATTGAAAAGCGAACTTATTATTCCAGGGAATGTCACTGTGGGCGCCATCCATTCAACCAAGATTTCCGGAAATTTCGGTCCAAAACTCAATGGATCGGTTCAGCCCAACCCGAAAAGTTTCGAAAAAACTTAAGTCCACCTTTTGAGGTGGACCACTTTTCCCGGTCGGACCGGTCGGAAATTTTGGTTGAATGGATCACGCCCACGTGACTCAGTTAATGGGTGAACCTTTCTACTCCAGAAAAGAAATTGAAGAATGGATTCTTCATGAACATGAAAACCTTTCAAAGAGACAAAATTGTTACTATGCGCGACAAAATGAGTTAGGTAAACTGTTCAAAGTACCCCAGACATTTTCGTAAAGTAGAACAAAAGTATTTTAATAAATAGAGGGTATTACATGGCCGCGCGGAGATATGAAATTTCTCTTCGAGTGTTGAAAAATATTTCACGAGTGAACGCAGCAAACGAGTGAAATATGTTTTCAACACAAGAAGAGAAATCACGTATCTCCAAGCGGCCATGTAATGTTCTATTTATTATATAAACACCAATGAAATGCAAAACCACTTCACTTTAATAGTTTTTTGGTGTGAAAGGCGCAATTTATTATGAAGCCATAGCAACGGTAATATTTTCACATGTGAAGATAACACGTTATTTTCACATCTGAAGATATCAAGTTTTCGCACGAAAGCTCATCTGGTAATTCATTGGTGTTTATATAATAAAATTATTATGATTACACATACCCAGTCAGTTTTACATCATTCTCCTCAAGAGGTTGGTGTTCCAGGTTACTATCCTCTGGTCTCATTAAGAATTCATCACTGCAACATATGAGAGCCTCTTCAAATCCGAATGACTGATTCCATAGCATTGGATCATCTATTGAGACAAATATTTTGTTCTTATTCTTTTCTTCAGCTATAGAAAGATATGTAACACTCGGGGGTTGAACTTTAACAAAAAGAAAAAATAAATCGTAACTTCGCAGGGTGCAGACTTGAACAATTTATTGATTAGCAAATCAAAAAAAGCAACACCTGTTTGAATTTCAAAGTGTTGGTGGCTCCACTTAAGTTTTTTGCATGGTAAAACAATATGACAATGTGATATGTCACCTTCTGGAATGACGCTGTAATTGTCCTGTTGTGGTGTAGTATCACCCATTGATGCAAGTGACCTGCAGTCTATGGGTGTGGTCACTGAAGAGGTACAATGTTTCCTAGCAAGGGGTACTGCAGGGGTAGCGGCTGCAACAGGTTTTCTTAGAGGAAGATGGGGAGGCCCAGTCTTTGGTGAATTAAGATCTTCCAGTGGAGTTCTAACTTCTTTTCTTGCCACAGGTTTGAAGTCATTAGTTTTTGGAGTAACCCATTTTGTAGCTTCTGAGGTGAGTCCATCAAAATTTTTTCCAGAGATTCTGGAAGTAGAAATGACTTGAGCCTGCCCAGTGTTGCTGTTACAATCCTCTAGGAAAAAGAAACATGAGGTTGTTGTTGTTTTTCTTTTTCATTTTCTTTTTTTTTGGAATAGTATCTGCTAACAAAAGGCTGATTTAGTAAGCCAAACATAAATTTCAAGTGAATACAACTGACAACATAAATAAAACTTTCCAATATTAAGTCTCAACGGTGTCTTTTAATTTATGAGCTTTTGTTGAAGTTAATGTTTGAAGGATATGATGTGTCTGAATGATATGACATGTAGTTTACTGTAAAGGGTGATGATTATAATCACTATGCTTTTAGCACAAACTTGAGTGTCCTTCTTTTAAACTAGTCAGCTACTTTAATACAGTACAGCACATTTTTTGTGGTGTGTAGTTCAGTAATAGTATAGCATATGAAGAAGCAGACGTAATATATACTTGCTGTGGTTTCACTTGTCTTCTCAGATTGTTGGATGTGGTTGACGGTAACTTTTCTTGTCAGACCTTGACCAGGCCTCCTCATGTGGTTTAAATCATATTCAGTATTTAACTACAGTGTGAGAGAATTAAGAAAAATATATTGTTGATAACAAGACTGTTTTCTTCTCATTTTCCCTTGATAGTCCCACCCTTTTGATTCCTATAAAAATCAGAATATATAGCAATGTGCCCAGGCCAATAAGATATTTAACAATTATTCCTTGAGCCGAATGTGCTATGAGTCAATAGCCGATGAGGCAGAAGGCCGAATGGGCTATTGACTCAGAGGCCATGAGGGCGAGAGGAATAATTGCTTTAGTAAAATCCAACCAGCTGGTCAAAAATATTGAGAAAAAACAACTTTAGCTAGCGAAACACAATTCAGCTCCATTGTTTTGGTTTTCAAAACCGGTGCTTTTTGCTACTAGCGGGCTATAACATATAGCCTAGTAGTAGCTCAACCAGTCAGAACGCAGCATTGATTGTAGACCACTAGTTGGATTTTACTATTAAAATCTGTTTATCCCACTGGCCATTTGGCTGATGGTTCCATTTTTTTGGTCTAAGTTTCTATAAGAAGGATTTACATCATTCTCCAGTTGGGATTCTACACTTATCATTCCTACTGGTAAGGTAGCTACTTTTCGCACGCCAGCTCATACCGCGAAAATGTAGCCTCTGCTCACAGGGTAGAAAAATACAAGATACATAGTGTATAAAGTAGGCTTGAGTTTTAAAAACTTACTGATTTGTGTTGTTTTGTAATGTACTTTAAGTAATCTTTGTCACTTATACAATTGCCAAGTGACTGTCCAAAGCTCCTACGAGGCAAAAACAAAATTTATCATAACTTGGAGTATTCTTCTATCGTGAAAGTACATCACAATGATTTCATTTACAATCAAACCTTTTTTATTAGTATGTCTCGGCTGTAGGTAAAATCAATTCCTCACATTAAAGTAGTATTCAACCTACATGTAATTTGACTCAGAATTTCCTTTGCTTCCTAGCCTTGATTATTAAGGACCTTTATATTCTAAGATGAGGACAACTAGGATGGCGAGATTTTCTTGATACTACATAGTGTGCATGCATGAACCAGTGTCATTTTGGCAGGAAAATATGATAGTCTTTTGTGTTCTAGTTGCATAAACAAGTTGTCAAATGTTAGTAGTTTTATCATTTTGCGATCCTGAGAGGGCTTAACCTCCTTCAATAAAAATAACCATAGTAATTTTTCTGTTAAACTCATCACCAATATATGAGCTTGGGCACTGGTGCCTACAAAGTTGGTGGAGCTGGGAAATGCTCTAGCATGAAGAGGAGGTATCCATGGCAACCCTGTGAGCGGCCCCTACCAGGCACCACCACACTGAACAATTCAGTGGAATACTTACTGACCAATACCAACCTGGGCCCAGTTGTTCAAATACCAATTAGTGCTAACCCAGGGTTGAATTTTAACTGGGTTTCTAAGTTTTTGTTTTGTTCAAAAGCATTTTCCCGCATAATTTTCTCTATTCTTATTAGGGCATCTAATCATCAAATTGTAGGCAAAAAGAATAAAACTGAATTTGCTCTTTAAGCTTTCATATCTGAATTCAAATCTCGCACTAACCCTGGGTTATCTTAACCCTGCTTTGAACAACCTGGCCCTGGCCCTTACCTCAAGTGGGAGGGAGGGATGGGAAAAACCAAAGCACAGAATGGCATGCAAACAGCAAGCTATTGCAAAACACTTTGCAAAGAACTGTAAGCAAGCAACTGCGTATACAAGTCACGAGGTACCCCCGCTAAAGGTACTGGGCCACCCCTAGTACAGCTGGAAAAACTGCTGATCAGCATTGCTTTGAGGTTAAGTTTACCTAAATTACATTTTGAGGTTAAGTTTACCTAAATTACATTTAGCTACACTGAAAAAAAGTACAATCATAAAGCTTTCCAGGGTGCATATTTTTTGCGACAGTGAAACATTTTTTAGTTAAATTTTGTCCCCATAATTGCCCTCATCCTCAAATCTAAAAGGTCTCTATTATTCATGGGAGAAAAGGAAATTCTTCTTTAATGTGAGGACAGAATTTTATCTACATGTCCACCTGACTTGAAAGTGACCACCCACAGTGTACCCAGTGAAAGTAATGCTATTATAATAGCTGAAACCTTGTGTGAGGGACCACCTATATGTGAATCTTGCATTTTGTCTCATGGTGGAGAAAACACTGATCCCCAGTCCATGGACTACCCTAAAATGGAGTACACCACTGAAGTTTAAATATTAGGGTTAGGAAACTAAGTGAATCAAGTTTCAGGTCAGTTTTCCCAGTATAGTGACTCTAAATGGAATCTGATTCACTCAGTTTTCTAACCCTAATCACTAAACTTCAGCGTGGTAGTCCACCATTGCTTTCTCTAACAGCCTAAAGCAAACTTACTTTAGGGCTCTTTTTAGACCATCAGTAACTGCCTCTTTTCTTGCCTTTTCAAGTGATAAAGCTTTGGATTTCATTCCCTCTGAGACTCCATAACCAATATCTTCATGGTAAACTCCATCCTACAACAATTATTAAAAACATAAATAAAAAAGGAATCAATGTCAGCATTCCAAGGTGTTGTAGTAATAATTTTGCAAAACTTTGCAAATTTCTCTATCCTTGTCTCCGTACAAAATCTTGTGTTTCAAGAAAAAAATGTCAGACTGTGTGACAAACTCTTACTGTAGATCTTGCTAAACAGGACAGCAAGAATTGAACCTTATAGAGAGCTCTTGCAGCACGTCCCAATGTTTTTTAGTAAAGAGAGTGATTTTTGCATTGAAATAAGTCATACCTTTAACTGAACTTTTACAAAAGCACTCACTCCAACATAATACTTGTTTGCCACCTGATCAACAAAGTCTTGGTTGGGAGAAAAAAGAAACCACTGAATTGTTTAAGGTATCATGTGAAGGGTGTAAAGTATGAATTGCAAACAACTAATTGTGCTGATCATCACCTAAAACATTTTTCTATAAATGCTCACCTATATTTTGATGGGTTACTGAATGCGACCATCCATTGAAGCCAAATGTTTCATTTGCCAGATTTATGAGTTTCCATCCTTCCACATAAGCAAGCTTAATACCGGTAGAAAATAATAAACATATTAGTTTATAGGTAGCTGTACCGGATAGAAGGTTGTTTGAAAGACACATGCATGGACTGTAGCTGTAGCTGCGGAGATTATTAGCAATTTTGCTAATTCGAAGTTAAGTCTTTGATTGATTGATTGTTTCTTTACAACACAGCACAATTAAAAGCAGATTAATTAATATTTACTTTCTGTCCACCTGCCCCTGCTCTTTGGCTGATGTATTCTGGCCCAAGCTTTTGATTTAAGGCGTTCTGAATTGCCTCTTGTTCCGATGGAGTAAAATTTACCTGGGAAAGATGAAATTCATTGAGCTACATAGGTTGTAAAGTTAATGATTTACAGCAGATCTGCTGTTTTTAAGAGATACCTACGTTTCCGAATGAAACCCCAGCTGCCTTGTCAGTATTACACATCGTGTTTAAACACTTTTAGAGAATGATTAACTTACTATTTCAATTTATACAAAACAGTTTAGAACTCAACAAAAAGAAAACTTGTGAATGTCTATTTGAAAATTTGAAAACATTGATTTTTTGACCAATCAGAATCCAAAATGTGCAAGGGCGTCTGGGATACAAAATGCTATCAAGTTCTACGAACCAATAAAATAAAGGTACTTTATCCGGGAGATTGTACAGTAAAATGGCGTCGAATTCGAAGAAGTAGTGCTTGTTTTCTGGGTTCAAGAAACAACCTCTTGAGATATATCTTCGCGAAAGACAAAGACTGTTTTTGGTGTAAGCTGATGAAGCCTTGAACTTTGCTTCGAAGTGTAGATTTTCATGGCGAAAAGCGAGGATAGTGGTAAGCTAAACGTTCTTCTTTTAATATAAGCTTAAGTTTAAGGTTGGCAGAAAAGGCTGTGTGTAAGCAGTTTAAAGCGCAAGGTTGCCCCAAGAGATACGTGTTATAAAGTTTGTAATACTTGCGTGAACATGTTAATTGAGAGAATCAACAAAATTCAAAATTGATAACCATATTAATGATGCACCTCCCCTGCGGGGGGAGGGGGGGACCCCTGCAAGGGAGATTATTTTGTAGAGGACCCTGTGATCCTTGATGGGGGCTCAGAGCAATCGAAGCTAAGAAATTCCTCCTTGTAGAAGGAATAACAAGATGGGAATGGATTTGAATAACAATACCTGAGATTATGCAGTCTGTCGAGTCTGCCATTATTTTTACCATGAGGGGAGAAGTAAACCTATGATCTTCCGGACAAGTTGTGTATATATCATTGATTTAAGACAACTTGAAATCAACTTTTAGCTTTTATCAATGAAATAAAATGGATAATTAAGCCTTATTATTTTTGGCCAAATTTATAACAGAGACAAATTATTTGTCTAAGGTGGATAATTAGTTTAGATATAAATCTGGTGTTCAGGCAGGTTTTAGCTTATCTTATAGATGTGCTAACAGGTCTGAGATGGTTATTCCGTCTGAAAATTTAAAAAACGAAACAAAGGTGGATTGCTCCCTTTCTTCTCCCTTCCTTGAAACCAAAAATCCCTCTATATTCATCCCACGAATTTATACCTAGACAAATTATACAAATTATTTGTCTATCTCTAGTATAAATTCAGCCATTCACTCAAAATATTTCCCCATTTCCAATCAGCCCATTCCCCTGGCTAAATTTGTATAACCAAGTCAATATACAATCAATACAATGGTTTTTTTTCCTCACCATAAAATCACAACCTTCTGTCCAAGAAGTGGCCCAGCAGCTTCAATCGGCGACAAAATTGTTGAGACATTGTACTCAAATAGGGTACCTTCAGGAAACAAAAGAATCCGCACCCCTCCCCTGTCCCCTCCGTTCAAAGTTGGGGTGTTTGTTGTTTTCTGTAGGTAGCTCAAACATCGGCGCAACATAGCATGGGGGGGATGGGGGAGGAAAACCTATATTTCCTCCTTCTGAGGTCAGTAAAACGTAAAAAAGCCCAGTTTAGGGCAAAGTGTCTCAACTCTTTTTGTCGCCGATTGTAGCTATTTATGCATGAGTGAACTAAAAAAGTGGCAAAAGAGTTCACAGCTATCCAAAGATGAAATAACCGAATTTTTCACTAAAACTGAACGGAAGTTTAGTTTTCTGTTTTTCAAACTTCATTTTAGGTGTTAAAAGTGCAAGGGTACGGTTGGATGTGTTGTTGAAGGATCTTAGCAAGAAAACCGAAGAAAGGTAAAGTTTTATTGGTGTAATATACCACATCACCTCGGTCAAAACATGAAAAATAAATCTATTATTGCAATCTATTTTGATGGTTTTCAGTAGCTAGTATATATTATGAACCTGTTTGATATTCTGCTATTGCAGCAGGTCTTCAGTTTTATTTAAGGGATTGCTTGATTTTGGAGGTCACTACATTGTGATCAAACATTTATTAAATCTGATGATTTAAGAGGGTTGTCACTTCCTTTTGGTGTAGCATTTGCAGATTTTTAGAGTCTTCTGAAAATAATTTGAGAGTTTTGTTAAATTTGCTTGTGTTATTTCAGTAGTGAGGATGAAACAAGTTCTACAGTGGCAAGGTCAGTAGATGTATTTTTAATTGAAAAGCCAAAACTGTTCCAGAAAAATGACTATTATTACTATTATTAACCTCTGAACAAACTCTCGTGTGAATTATTTTATGGTGTAAAAGTCATAATATCTGAGTCAAATGCATGAGGTTTTCATCTTGTCATGACTGGTAGTCCCAAAAACTTTTCAGCAACTTCTGACAATTTTTTGAATAATGACTTTTTGGCTTGGGATTGTGCTTGGTATCATAAGACAAACCAGGTGCATTTTTTTCTGATCACTGCTTTCTAACATTTTGATTTTCAGTACTGTGTCATTTCAAATGCCACCGCCATCCACTCCAACAAAAAGGTATGTTTTAATGACACACTCTGGTCCAAATTAGATTCTTAGATCATTGACCTAAAGTAATTTTAATTTATCTCACTTAGCCATAATGAAAATAAACGAAAATTAGAAAATGGAAATAAAAAACACTTTTTGTGTAATGGGAAGTTTTTAATTTAAGATTGACTTCAGCTTCCAGGAGATCTCTCTCTCTCTCTATTGCCTCTCTAAAATATTTTAAAATTCTCAATGTCCAAAGTTTTAGAGTTTTTTGATGAGCAAATGCTAACATTTTTTGTGTGTTTGCTGCCTCTTCTTTGTGTTTTTAGAAGTGCTTTTCTTAAAAGATCCAATAGTCAGTTGCTTGTTGAAGCATTTAACAATAAAAATTAAACTTAAATCATTATTGCACTATTGTTATGACACTGTATATTCTAACCCACCTCTTCTTGTTTTTTATTGCTTTACATTTAAAGGAGTGCCTCAGGTATGTTGATATATTTATTAGATGTGCATGAAGAAACACTTTTCTTCTATCAAGGATAATAACTGTTTTGGCTGGAGCCTGCATAACAGGTGCTTTTTTTTCACATTTTTCAGGCTAGCACAAAATGTGGATGTGGAGTGCCAGACACGCACAACAGAAGAAGACACAGAAAAAAAATCACTTTTTCTGTGTTCTGTGCCTTTGTGGTCCTCTCAAGCTCCACATCACTTTGTGCTCACCTGAAAAACGCAAAAGAATAGTGCCTGTTCTGCAGGCTATTTTGGCTTTCACAGCTAATTTACCACTGTTCAAAATGTCTTTGGGCAACGTTAGTTTTGACCCTCTTTTTCTCTTTCTAATTTCCAAATTGTATAATTTCATATATTAGGGAAAACCCCACGAAAAAGACGCAAGAAAGATATGGGAGTTGATGGTAAGTGAACATTTACGCATCTGTTGACCATTATGCTAGCTAAATAATAATTATGAATGTTATTTCTTTCTTAAATAATCATATCTCTCTCCTTTCCTTTGTGAGATCAATTTCTAAAATTATAGCTGAGGTGAAATTTTCCTCATATAATATTCCTTTTTGGAAAAGTCCACCAGATGTGGAGAATAACGTCATGCTCAAAGAACAAATCAGATAAAGATTACTTGTAAAATATTGTACTACCATGTGCACTTTCTACATGTGCAAGGAATTCCCTTGACTATTTGTTGTTAATTTTGGGTAATGTTCATGGATAAAATGGTAATGTTTTGACTTCTGTTTTTTAAACGTGTTATTTTTAACATCCAATTTTATTAATTTGTCCCTAGATGGAGAAAGTGGTAGTCAAAACCGTAAGTTCATTGGGATGTGAAAAATACTAAATCTTACTATTTTTTGAACATATTATATTTTGGAGGTATGTAACTGATTATTCTTTTATCTTTCTCTTTTCATGGTTTTTGCCTTGGCCTTGCCTTGTGGGACTTTTCTCTTACAGCAAGGTTAGTTTATGCTTGGCTTTGATGGTGGACAGGGGGGAGATTATCAAACAATTATACATTAACAAAGTAAGCAACCTCTTTCTTTTAGCTTTGTTATGAAGCTGTTTGACCGCAGTGTGGACTTTGCCCAGTTCAGCGAGGACACACCATTGTATGCTTTAGCAAGAGCATGGATGCAGAATAAACCATATGGAACAAAGTTGTCTGATTCACAGGATGGCAATCTTGATGGTGACTCTCCTTCAAACAGTCAAGAGAGTGCTTTGTCTTCCTCCTCTCACAGTGTTAGTAGAAAATGTTGTTGTGCCTATGTTTCCAGTATTGACAATAATAATTCATGTTTTGTGGAAGATGTGACCACAAGGCAATGACTTTACTTTTGTTTTCCTGAACTTCAATACAGTCTTTTAGAATTCAACTCCTGAAAAATTTGCAAATTTGACAAATTAAATGAGTTGAAATTAGCGTGACAAATTTTGAAGCAGCACGAATTCACTTGGCAATGGGAGTGGCCTGTACATCAGAAACCTTTATTGGCATTATGATTTCTAGATTGTAGCTTGTATTGGATGAATGAACCTTAGTTATTTCTCAGTAAGATCAAGTACCGGTAAGTTATCAAGTATACAAGTTTTAATCCTAGAACAGCTATCTCACATGTATGGACCCTTCTTAATTACAGTGTTTGCTCTTGTGGAAGTGATTTCTTTTATGATACAGTTTCCAGAAGTGATTGCAGATCAGCTAAAGCAAAATTGCATTCTTATGTACAATATGGGTCTAGTTAAGCTCACGTGATGAATTAACTTTTTATTATTGATTAATATGAAATATTTTTCTCTAGAATGGTGAAGGGGATCCAAGTAATGTGTACAGGTAATTGTGTGCTAATACCCTTTAATACCCTGTAAATAAATAAATAAATAAACAATAGAAAAATATTTAGAGGTAGCACTTCCACTAAGTGGTCCTTCATCCACCTGATGATTCCTGGTCAAATTGGAATTTGAAAGTGTTGGTTTTTGACGAGAGGGGAAAACCGGAGTACCCGGAGAAAAACCTCTCGGAGCAAAGGAGAGAACCGGTAAACAAATAATCACGACCCACATAATTATGGTGTTGATGCCGAGATTTAATCCCAGTCCACATTGATGGAAGGTGAGTGCTCTCACCACTGCACCACCCTTGCTCTCTTGTGAAGAGTGATTTAATATCCATCTGAACAGGAATATTTTCCACAGGCTTTCAAGGTAGTGTACAAATAACAGCAACAAAGAAAAGTATTGCCCTATAAGCAACCATATTAACCCTTTAAACCCTAAGATCAACATTTGAATTCTCATTTGTTGCCCCTATTCATTTCCTACAGAAGTAGTGGGGAGAAGTTGATAAATTCATGTGTGATCATGTCTGTAATTCTCATGACCACTCTGTTTTATAAAGCAGTGATATTACAAGGAAAAATTTGACGCTGATCACTCTTAGGGCTTAAAGGGTTAAAGGCCGAACTTTAGCAGAGCCCGTTGGCCCCTGGTGCCCAACTTTTCCTCTCTGATGAAATCTTTATAAAAATCATATGCTGGGCACCCTAGATTTTACAGGTTCAGAGCACTTGCCCCCTTCAATTTTCCTTAGAGAACAGCCTTGATGTTTACTAATTTGTATATTATGTCAAGTTTTCCAGATCCAATCAAATCAGTTGAAGACTTTGACATGAACGTTTGCCATCCCGATGAACCACTGTCCCTTGACATTCATTATGTAAGTATAATTTCCCATAAAACTTGGTTTTAAAATAAAGCTGCATTATGTGGCAACCCACAGTTAGAATAACCAGTCAAGGCTGGTTGTTATGGCAGCATTATTTTCCACGAAGAGATGTTTTTATTTCCGGACACCTAGGAGGCCTTAAATAAAGAATTACTTGATTAAACTTACATCTCATTTCTAGGAGTTTGTGGAGACACTTTGGCAAAATAATATATATTAAATTATTAGTTAACTGAAAAATGTAACAAAGTCAACTGCCACAAGCATAGCCATATCCACCACTCCCCCGTCAAACACACCACTGCAGGCTCCCGTGGAGCGTTATTGCTTCATCACAGCAGGATCATCAAGTTTCTTTAGTGGTTTTTGTAGTGGCTGCTTTGGCTTGGAGTGGTTTATAGCAATTGTTTTAGCATTCACCTACCCTACCCTCTATGTTCCCCTTCCACTAGCTGATTCATCAAAGTGATGGGTGCCTGGAATGGGGGCTGGTTGCTGGGTTGTGGAAATTTGCCAGCCACAGGAGCAGATTCTATCTGGGGACTGGTTGGTATCAGTGGAGGCCCCTGGATACCCCATGCACCCACCTTCCATTTAGCTGGGCAGACAATGAAATGGTGATCAAAACAAACTTGATCCTTCTTACCCCTAAGAAAAGTTTGCGTGCCGTGTTGTTTCCTACGTGTAGGAGGGGCTTAGCTGGGATGGGGGGGAGGGGATCACACTATAAAACATTCAGGGTACTTACCAGATTTTTAATCAACATCCATGCTTTAATTTTACTGAAAGCGCAGTAAATTTTTGAGGGTGTTGCTTATTTGAGAGCACCATTTACTCAAGTGAATACGGTACATATTTTTCTGAGCCACTTCCTTAGCTGTAGCAGTACAGACATAATTTGCTTAATTCTCATGCTTCAAATTCTTTAAGTTTAACCAAAGTTTTGTTTACTCCCGAAAGGACCTTAACAAAGCACCTTCGCTGAATGACCTTAAACGAAACCACATTGAAAGGTGGAAGAAAGTTAAAAGCAAGTAAGGAAAGAGTTAATAGAAACAAATATGATTCAAGTTATTTGTAGTGTACTGTTCTTTCAGATTAATCATAGCTTTGAATAATGGTTGCTTTGGTGACCATTAAACTGCGAACTAGCAAACATTGACTATTTCCAGTTGTCGGGCGCAGAGAAGCGATGTCCGGAAACACGTCTGTGTTTGCGGGCTTACTGTGAACAGGGTCCCAGGGGAGTGTGGTAAGGGATGCAGGAGATTCTCTTACTTCCCTGCCGGCCCCTTTTTTCACACTTTTTAGCTTTGTGCGGTGTAGACGGGATAGTTTGCGTCTTATTTAGGACGCGTCTAATGAAAGACGCGTCTTATTTTTCCTCGTATAAATGGCCCTTTTGTCTTTGTCCTATACCCCACAAGAGGGCCTGTTTACAGGCTAGTAAGCTCCATTTTCTTCATTAGAGAGCTTTAGATTCTAAGACGAGTACGACAACGGGGATGAAATTTTCTCAGTAGTAGGTGGTGCTCGCGCGTGAACCAGCGTTATTTTGGCGGGAAAACGTGGTACCCGTCGTCATTCTACTACGAGTCTTAGCGCGAATGTCGAAGTGGCGGAAACCAGTTATGAAATATTAGAAGTTTTATCATTTTGCAATCGGGAGACGGTGTAACCGCCTTCACTATAAGGTAACAGTGCTAACTTTTCTAGTGAAAAATGATAAAATGAAGCTTTCAAGGGAGTCTATATTTTGAGAATACGCGAAAAAACTTTAAGTCAAATCTCGTACTCGTAGTCGTCCTCGTCCTCGAATCTAAATGTCTCTATTATCGTTCCCTACATGTGTATATTGTTAGACCCCGTCCACATGGCTCGAATGCATTTTTACCTGTGCAACCTGTTTACATAGAACCATGCAAATTCACTTACAGATTGTATTACTGTTTACTCGCGTCCATACTTCTGATCAGGTCAAAAATTTGCATGGTCCGGCGGGTCCCGTGTAAACGAAAGGCCGATCCGAGTATAAAGTTTTTGTCCGTATCGTTGTAAACGGGATCTTAGTTTAAAAGAAACGTGCAAAAGGTCTGTAGCTAAAATTCAATTTTCAAACTACAAATTCTTTTAAATTCTGTCTTTATATTTGATCTTTGTTATTTGTCTTTTGTAGCTGGAGAGATTTATCATTTGAAAGACAAGCGCGCTACGGACCGAGTATAAAAATGATACGAGAACTTTTTGAACACCAATGACATTATGTTTACCTTGTAAAAATTGCGTTTCAGTATATGTGTGTGAAATAGTATAAACAGTTCAACCATCCTTATAAGACATTGCCATAAAGTTTACACTATTATTATTATTATGATATAACATATTAGCCAGGGGCACCCAACGGCAATTTTCGGGAAAATATCTGTTCGGAAGACGATTTGAGATCTAGAATTTTCGGAACATTTCTTGTAAAATTTCTTGCTTGCCTGCCTCTCCTAGGATTTTCGAACATCTACAAAATGGTATAATTACCCATTTTAAACGGATATTTACCCTAAAAAACCATCCTTATAAGACATTGCCATAAAGTTTACACTATTATTATTATTATGATATAACATATTAGCCAGGGGCACCCAACGGCAATTTTCGGGAAAATATCTGTTCGGAAGACGATTTGAGATCTAGAATTTTCGGAACATTTCTTGTAAAATTTCTTGCTTGCCTGCCTCTCCTAGGATTTTCGAACATCTACAAAATGGTATAATTACCCATTTTAAACGGATATTTACCCTAAAAAAGGCCACCTAGAATTTTCGGGAGCCTTTTCCTGGCTGAAATTTTCGAAAAGGTAAGTTTTGATCCCTATAATTTTCGGATCACTAGACTTTCAGCTAGGAAATCCGAACAGATGAAACATTTTTAGGGGATAAAAATATGCTTATATCTTCCCTTTAAATACTAAAATATGTTCAACAATGCTATGTTAAGTGGTTTTGAACTATATCCTCGTTGGGTGCCCCTGAGTAGCCTGCGTAGCAGGCGCTTAAAAGTAGTGGGCACAAGAAAAAACGGGCGCGCGAGAAGGAGACAAGCGTGTCTCCCTCGCGCGCGCCAGTTCTCTCTTTCGCCCGCTACTTCCAAGCGCCTGCTACGCAGGCTAATAACATATTTACTTTAAAACCGATAAGTAACCCGCAAGGCATAGAAATTTATTCCCTGTGATTGATGCTAGTTTTGGTAGTTTGTTATTTGTTCTTAGTTGATCTTAAGGGAAGCCTGAGCCTTGCTAAACATTCTTGGTTTGCAACCACGCAATGAGACGGCCAATGGGGACATGTTATTGGTCAAAACAGTACCTTGTCGCAGAAATTGCAGGAAAAAAAGATTGGAGGGAAACACTTTTGTTCTTGTCAACCAACATGACGTTACTGACTGTAAACCAGGAATGCACAACGTTTTAAAAACTTTATATCTCTATAACATTGGCCGTTTTTATGCTAGAGATGTTAAAGTCGTGTTAAGACGGCTTTAACGTCTAGTAAAAAACGGTAAATAAGAGAGACGCATTTAACGTCTGACGACTTTACTAGTGTAACTAGAAAATGTGTAAAATTGCATTTTGTTAACTGTTTTATCTGTGAAACACTAATAGTCTATTTATCGATATCTGAATAAATGCCCATTGAAGGGCGTATGCTGAGATACTGGAGCCAGTGTTGTTGTTTCTTATGTGCTTGTTCGTTTCCCTTGCTTTTTATACATCTCCGTAAATAAGAGAGAACGTGTATTGTATCACACTCTTTTCATTGCCGAAGAACATTCTTGACTCTTGATTTTTATGTGGCTTGAGCCTCCTGGACTTTGGTGACGCTTGAAAGTGGTAATCGTTTGGTAATCAAAGTTTATCACCTGTTTTTCGCAGGGGTCATTTTCATTTTCCTTACTTTTCACTTACACCTAATTGCAATAAGGTTGTCATAGAAAAAAGCAAAAAGTTAAATAGGAATTAATTAGCATGTAATTATCATAGCCTGCAACATTCACAACACACACGCTTATAGCTGAATATTAATCACGTAATATGCGGGAAATCATTTGCATCAGTTTCTTGGTGTCATTCTAATGCAATAGGACAATTGCACGATGACGTCATTTGACTACAACTACCAGAATCCTTGAGTTTGTTGTTTTCTTATGCAAATTAAGGCTATTGTTCTGTAATCCTCAGCGGGATTGACAAATTTAAATAACAAAGCAAAACCGAAATGAATTGTGGTAGTTGTAGTCAAATATCGTCATCTTGCAATTGTCCTATTCGAGTGCTGATTCAAACGTGCTCGAATTACAAAGCACATCGGATAACTACTAAAGAAAAATGGCTCCATTTTTTTTGTCAATAAATATAGCCTGGGGTAAATTCCAGGAACTCAACGCGTGTTTTAGATTAGTGCTAAATAGAAAAGCCAGTCTGCGTATGGTTTGCAGTGCACAACACCATCTGATCACAATTTTGAAGCAACAAATCAGGGGCGTAGGCAGGACTTTTCATCGCGGAGAGGGTGAGGGGGTCCTCCGCCAGTTCCTCACCTGAGCCACAAACCAAGCTTCGTTTGTCAGGACATAATAGATTGGCGACTGAAAGTGCGACAACTGAGACTTAATATTGCTCGCGTCAATTTACCTTTTTCTTTTTCGAATTGTGCGACTTCTGTTGATGGAGAATGTTGGCTCTAAAATGACTATGGCGCCTGTCTATCTTACAGCGCGGAATTACAGAATTATCTCTTGTTATTGTGAATGAATTCTTAAATAATTGTTAAATACTGAATTAAAATACGCAAATGTAAATCACATGGCTAATTTATTCCTATTTGTCTTTTTGCTTTTTGCTTTTTTCTATGACAACGTTTTTGCAATTAGGTGTACACCTAATTGCAATAACGTTGTCGTAGAAAAAAGAAAAAAGCCAAAAGCCAAATAGGAATTAATTTAATAGCCATGTGATTTACATTTGCGTATTTTAATAATTTAACAATTATTTAAGAAGTCATTCATAATAACAAGAGATAATTCTGTAATTCCGCGCAGTAAGATTCCGCACATCAAATGTACGTTTGTAATTTGAGCACGTTTGAAATTCACTAGATGAATCAGCCTCGAATTGCATTAGAATGACACCAAAAAACTGATGCAAATGATTTCTCTCGTATTACGTGATTAATATTCAGCTATAAGCGTGTGTGCTGTGAATATTGCAAGCTATGATAATTACATGCTAATTAATTCCTATTTAGCTTTTTGCTTTTTTCTATGACAATCCTATTGCAATTAGGTGTATTTTCACGTATTTTCCGTATTGTCTTTCAGCTCTGACGCCAGCACTTACTTTCAAATTGAAACTTCTATGTAGTTTTTTTTGTATTTCTGCAGTTCACATCACCTTCATTCTATGTCAATTAAGTGTGGATATCTGTTTGAGCACCCACTATGCCGTTTACGATGTCGTAGGCTGTTTTCTTCACACGATTGAGGTCATTCTCGTCCCCAGAGCCCGTCGTGTCTTGGTCACGTGATCTTGAAATCACTGGTCGGTTACAAATTAAGCCGAGTGGCTCTGCGGACCGGAATGGTTTGAGGTCACCTTGAAAAAGGTTGAAAAAGAGTGCTTTGTTAAGAGTCCTTTGCGCTATATAGTGGGTGCACATGCGTCCTTTCGCACTAAAGAAAATCCCTGCTACTCCGGCTCTTTTAGCGCTTGTCAACCACACTCCAAAGTTTCCGTTTTTTCTAACCCCTACCTGGCTGCTCACAAACGATTACTTTACGACCTGCTGACAAAGGGCAGGTTCATAAGACGCTCTCTTTTCAATCTCTTTGTTTTTGTGACTTTTCATCTCAGTTTTTAGGGTAATTTTTTTGTTTTAATCCCCTACTGATACAGGATCGAACCAATTGCTGGTTTTCACATGACGTCAGTAAAATTCAAACGATAAAACTATCGATCCTACCGAGATTTCACTTTCACGAGGTATTAGAGTGGCTGAAAACTAATTTTCATACGAATTTTCTCTTCAAAAGGGTTCTTCGTTTTGTGATAGAGTACGCTTGAATTTCTAAGCTTTTGCGTGACGCGGCATTAAGAGAGCTGTCAGGTATGTTTAAAAAAATGACTTATTTCAGGGAATTTTGCTATCTAAACAGTTCATGTATTAGAAAAAGTATTACTTTAATGTTTATGAGTTCTCGGAAGGATAAATTCACGCTTTTGTAGCAAAAGTCGGTAACAGATTTTTCTGTTGGTTTCCGTCCGCCATGTTGGTGCTCATCCGTCTCCATACAAAACTCTATAAATTTGGGTAAAACGTTTCTTCGAATATCTCGTATACGAAATATTCCTCTAACCTGAAATTTGGCGAGGGTCTTTGCATATATACCTCCTTTCATTTCCCAGATTCTGGGCTTTATCTATTGAACGGTTTTGATTTTTATTTTGATCTATTTTGAATGGCGTGACATTGAAAACCAGCAATTGATTGTTAATTGGATACTCATCCACTGGATAGACTTATCGGTTAATATCCATCTTTTGAACAACTGAGGCAAAAATATAGCAGTTTCTCTTCTCATGACATGATAGAAGACACTTTGAAAACACTCAAGTTTTGTCCAGGTTTCTACGTTTTTTCTTTGCCCAAAAGAAAATTAAATAACTTTGAAGTTCATGCCTGGTCCTTTTTACTCTAGCCCCTTCTGCCGAAAACCTCTTCAAAATGTCGGTACCATGACTTTCATTCTCATGCCACTTGTTTTTACTACAGATTCTACCAACAGAATCCATTTATCATGACTGGCGAGCGAACGCGCGAGCAAGCCTCCCCACACATTCGCCTCACCTTTCGCGCACTGCTCTCTCGTGAATTCTCGCGACTGCCCCAAATGGCGAGCTTGCTTGCAGGCTAGGTTTTTAAAAAGCTGAAATACTGGTATTTGTGAAATAAGAATCTTTTGACTTTTCTTATTTTTCCAGCATGACTAACCAAGATTAAATGGAGAAAGGGCCCTGAGGCGCTTTCCGTCCGGCTGAAAATTCTGGAAATTTTACCGCATTTCACCTAGTGTAACAATTAAACTACAAATGACTTAGGTGACTTTTGATGTGCTGCCTAATTTCCCTAAAGTTTTCATCTGATAACCGAGCAAAATTGTTGAAAACTGTGGAACAGGGGAAATTTCCACCAAACTTCCCAAACTTTTCTCTTGGAGAGGGTGGGGAAAAGCCTGGTTACAAATTACTAGTCACCACCCCTGCAAGTCAAGCTTCGAAAGCAAGGGAGGGAACTTGATGCAAATTATATCAAATTGCTTATTGCAGTCAAAAGTCGGACACAGAACGTGTGGATCTTGTTCGTTGCACTGTGAATGGCAGAACCAGAGAAAAGGCCAATGTCGGTTGGTATTGCATTCTCTACTCTTTTAAGATTCGTTCTTAGTACAATCATAATCTCTGCTAGTTATTTCACCTCGCTAATCGAGCAAAGCAACGAAACTCGGTCTCAGAGCTTCGTGTACATGTCCCAACAAATTGCCTTTCTTAGGTTTCAAAACTTGTCTTTCGAAAAGGTAAAAATGTAGGCACATTACTACCAAATCACCCCACTTTATCCTCTATATCTCGGAGAACGCCTTTTAAAGGTTGCTATCGTCTCCGGACATAAACTATTTAGGCTTAAATTGAGTAAAGCACGTCGACAAAACGAACGAAAAAAGTGAAAGTAACTTACAAATTGAAGCGGGCACTTCCGCCTTATATTTGCTTTTGATTAAAGAGAAAAAAAACCGTTAGGTGATACTTTCGATTTTAGGAATTATATACGCAGTCACTTTTGCTGCGTTATTAAACTCAATGTCTTACGTTCCATGATCGATGTCAGTCGCACATGAATGACGGTTCGAACTTCGAAATTCCTGTTCCTCTGAGACGATTAAATTTAATATAACATTATCTTAGTGAACTTACAATTCTTTCACCCGTATTTTTGGGAACATATGAATTTTGTCAGCGTTAATTTTTTTTATTTTATAAATCCAGCTTGTTAAAGAGCAGAGCCTAACTATAAAAACGTTTTCCTTAAAACGCCTCTGTTACAGGCTTAATCCCTCCATGAAACGAAGTTCATGCGGGGATCACGTAACCCTGAAGATATCAAGACACGTCCGCTGCACCAAAACATGAAAAGTAAAGTTGCTGTTAATAATATTTTGATTCCATGGAGCTTATTACTAAGTTTGATCAGATCCGAACACTGCTGCAGGTGGCAACATTTTGCACTCAAAAACTTACTGAGTTTCAAATTGTGACAGCTAACTTTAATTTTTTCATAGCAGTGAATTTAAAGGAAAACTTTACCTCCAGTTGGAGGCAGATCTTGATAAAATTTACAAGACATTGTGTTTGATACTCTTAGATGAAAATTAAGAATCAAGCACTAGGCGCCTAAGCATAAATTAGTGTTGCTTTTACTTTTCTCTATACTTTATATATGTTAATGATGTCACTGTGTCTGTCACTGTGTGAGTGTCATGTGGTTAGATTTTAACGTTGTTAAAACCAAATTTCTTACTCAAACGGTGTAGAACGTCAGCAAAGGGAAATATGCTGGCACTCAAAATTTTGGTCATTTACATCAAATAGTGGCAGGGTTCGCACGCACCTTGAAAGTCCTTAAAAGTCCTTAAATTTTAAAATAAAAATTCAAGGCCTTGAAAGTCCTTGATAATTGCAGTCGGTGCTGGAAAGTCCTTGAATTTCAACGATAACTTAATAGTTTAAGTAGAACTCCAAAGAAAAAGGAGTAAACACAGAAAGACCTTCGGGATAAAATTACTCATGTTGTGGAAGAACTAAAAAAGACATAGACTCAAGGCTCTTTTTTTGCACGGAATGGCGTCCTTGAAAAATGGGGAATGTGTCCTTGAAAGTCCTTGAAAAGTTCTTGAATTTTTTGTTCAAAAAAGGGTACGAACCCTGTAGTGGAACATTAAAGAAAGTTCTTCTAAATCTTTCCAACTTATTTTTATCACTTGGCCCTGGTTTTTCCAAAAATGGATAGTGATATCCACCGAATAAATCACTATCCAGCGGATAAATATTAGGAAAACCAATAGTGCTATCCACTGGATAGTGATTCATCTGGTGGATAGCTCTATCCCGCTTTTGAACAATTGGACCCTTGTGAAATTTGTCCTCTTGTAAATTAGAAATTTAGTTACTTATTCTTTGTTATTAGATGGGATAATAACAAGCTAGGGAAGAATTGGGACATCAAAAAACATTGTTTAAAACAGTTTTTCTTATTATATTTGTTATTAAATGCATGACTAAATTTCATTGAATTTTATTGATTCAAGGGAGAATGTCTTGGTATAAAATCTAGAGTAGACTTAAATCAATCCTTTGACTTTCACTTTCTTCGTATTAATGAGTTTCAATTCAAATGACTGCAAGGGATATGCCATTTTACCTTTTTCTTTGTGCCATAACAACATAGTTTATGAAAGTTATTAACAACAGCTTTGAAAGACTCTCCCTTACTGTGAGAAAGACAATAGGGACCTTACGATCCGACAATGGCGACGTCCATGAAAACGTCGCTGAAAAACAGAGTTCGCATTATTTTAAACTTTTTCGCGATTATCCCAATTCACCCTGCTACTTAAAAGAGGGGGATTTTGGCTGTAGCTGAAGAGAGGGGAACGCGCTCAAGTTCGGACAGAGATGGTAGATTTTATCGCCTTGCCGTTCCCGTTCCCAAGTAAACTTAAAATTTGGTCATTTCATGTCGTAGTTGTGCAGTGAAGGCAAAGAAATGTACAAAAAAGCGTGCAGAGTTGTTGTTTTGCTCATTAAACCTATTGTTTTTTTGACTTACCCGTTGCCGTCGTCGTCGTGGTTTCGTAAGGTCCCTAATATCTCTGATCAAGGTGCAAAATTTAAATAGCCTTAGCACCACAGGACACCCATGCTATATATATAGTAAACATGAACAACTTTGTATCCAGCTGTGAGCTCATCGCAAGGAAAATAAAATTAAAAGAAATAAGAAAACTAACAGAGTGAAACAATGGAGAAATCATTCCATTCTTCATTTTTGGACAGTATTATAATGTTTTAGCTGTTGTTTTCTACACTTTATTTAAACTCCAAATACATGAAGAATTTCTCATGAAATACAAGGAATCAGTAATTTGCCAAACAGAACTATTGCAAAATTTTATGTCAGCGTAGATGAGACAGGATTAAAAACTGAAATCGTGTTAATTCAGATGTTTTTGGTATCACCTTTGCAAACTGGAGATTGGTGTTTGAAACACAGATACCACAACTCCAGTCTCTTGCTTTAATTAATTTTGATTAATAAAAGGCCAAGGTAAAACAATGACACCCTAAAAGTTTCAAATGATACTCTTTTTGGTGTCTGATTTCTCCAATACAAGTATTGTGAAAGCAAACTTTTTAAGTGTCTCAACAAAGTTACTAAGGTTACAGATAATTCCATGGTTAATGTCATTAATTCTTGATTATCTCTAGATTGCCAAATGGTTGATACAGTACAGTAATTTCATGCATAATAATTTAAACATTTTCAACAATTGACATGACATTGAGGAGGTTTTTTTTCCTTTTTTCAGGAAGCACCAGTAGAACCTTACCCAGGGGGTCCACCAACCTATGGCACAGAAAGGGGAGCTGCACCTCCCACCTATGATGAAGCAACAGGTTAGGGTCCCTCCATGATACTGTACTAATTCCACATATTGAATATTTTGTTCAATACAAACGGGGCTTTCTAGAAGCTCTCAACAACTCAATTCAACAACTTTTGTTTGATGAAAACAAACGTACGATGGAAATTCAAAAATTGCGTAAGCAAATAATGCAGTTTAAAAATAGTGTTAACCTCATGGTTGAAATTTCTTTCAAGAGAGTTCTCAATCCACTGCAATCTACCTTATAGGACTCTCAAATGGTAGTTTTCCCAGTTAAGGGAAGCCCTTGGACTCTGGCTCCCAGCAGAATGTGGGGTACATCTGTACCTATCTCAGTGTGAAAGGCTGTAGTCAACCACTGCCCATTTTCTCTTGTTTTTCATTAAATTTACTAGAGAACTGCCAAATATGAATTGATGAAGTACAGCCTTGTTACAGGTTTTTTTGTCATCTCACACTTAAGCAAGATGTCATTTACTTGAAAGTAGACCCTTTACACACAGAACTTACGGTAGAACTAAGATACCGTATTTCCTTGAATAAAAGCGCTTTTTGAATAATCGGCTCCCTCGAATAATAGCCCCCCTTTGAAGGAAATATTTCAAAATACTCGCCTCCCTCAAATAATCGCCTCCCCCCGCTCCTCTCGCCATCTTCCCTTCCTTTTATCCCCTCCCTGTCAAGTTGAAGTGCAATGTGATCTAGCAAAACTGATCAGTGACGATTCAAGCTATGAAAATTTATCAAGTAACTAAATCTGTAACACTTAAAAAGCCCATGTTCAGTTTATTTGATGTGATTATTTTTTGTATTTAATGGGAAAATTAAAAAAATATATTTAGGGCGTGACTTCCAGTGATCAATATTTAAAATAATCGCCTCCCTCAAATAATCGCCTTCCCTTGAATAATCGCCCCTTTTTGTGCGAAAAAGAAATAATCGCCCCCAGCTATTATTCAAGGAAATACGGTACGCTTGGTTACAAAAACCTTTTTTGCATTCTTGTTCAAAGGTGGTAATCTGTGTAAGATGTAACTCAGAGTATTATCAGCCTCATTGGTGATTGCTGTTGATCACATAGACGATAGTTACTGTGAAAATTATTCAGAAAATCATGAACACCATAAAAATTAATATTTTCTGGAATGTTAAATTGCATTGCAAGAAAACAGCTTGTCAGGTGTGAAAAAAACTTAAGTGCAAACATTAACTGTAATTTGGTTGTAGTTTTCTGGTTTCATTGTGTGTCCTAATCTCTTGTGTGATTGGTCACTGCACAATTAACATTACTGAAATATCTTATGTGTTCATGTTTTCTGAGTTTGACAGTAATATTGTTTTATTCCTTCCTCAATTTTCACTATCAGGGCCTCCCCCATCATACCAATCATTGTTTGGAGAAATCAAAGATGCTCGGCATGGATCCAGCTCAGTGTTAGATTTCTTGAAAAAGTTGATCCTTATTCTAGCTGGAACAAGTAAGTTTGAAAATGATTATTGTTACTTTACCTTCTACAGAATGCCCATGTCTTAATTTTCAGAGCATTCTCGCTCATGGCCACAAACCTGCAGTCTGTCCCTAATGTGCCTGCATTGTGTGGTGCAGGGTGACAGCAGGTTCATAACTCCAATTTCTTAACCTGTGTTTATGTTTTTTTACAACATATTTAATGATACTGTTAGCAGAGCTCCACACAAGCGGAGCCCCATAGCTAAGGAAATTTGTTTGCCTATCCAGTCGCGTGACCATATGTTCACCCACCCGCCCATCTGTCTCCACCACTAGAAACTTTCTAGTTAGTGTGGGGGCCTGCGTCCTGATATTGCACATCCATGTTGTGGTCAACTGACAGCTGTCAAAGCAGGGTATACGCTGATCAGCATCACATCGCCATATCGCGGGCTCAGGTGTCGACCCATCAAGGTTACATGTTTTTTTAAAGTCTACCACTGACAAGTTTCTAGTTTTCAACAGATCGCAGGCTCAAATCGAATTGGATTTCTTTATTGCAATGTTTTTTTCATTTACGGGAGCTTCGCCTTTAGCCTCGGCTAAATCTTTTTATTATCATTTTGTCTCTATCTTCAAAGAGTACTGCTTGCTCAGTGCTTTTGCTTGAATTTACTCGCTTTCAATTGACTTTTTGTGTTAGTTCTATTGTTAGTTAGTTATTTTCTCTTTTTGATTGTAAAGCGATATAGAGCTTTTGTATATACTGCTATACAAATAAAGTTATTATTATTATTATTATTATTAATGAGCATACATAAGTACTACTTTTAGGTAGTTTTCTGGCACATTATAAATTTTTTCACTATTGTTTTGCAGTTGGCTGTACCATCGCCATAGGGCTAGTCATGGCTATACCCATTGCCATGATTGTCATAGGTAAGCTATCCATAGTTTGGGGGGGGGGGGCGTCGTGTAGGCGGCACACCCAATAAAATTTTGGGGTGGGAATTAGTGCTACCGGAGTCCCTAGCTTGTGATGATTCATTGGAACCTCTTACTCTACACCATACTACTGCACAAACACTCTGATTGCTATCCTCCATATCAGATGCAAGCTTACCACGCACAGAGGCGCATATCATATTGGTAGTTATCCACCACCCAACATGGGTTAAAAGCTGTCAAACCTTCTCGACAGCTGTTTCGTATAACTCCCACGTGTAGTCATAGTCTCCGCATTTTTTGCCTTGATGCTTTAAAAAGCCCTTATATGTACCATGTTAACTCTTCAGTTGGTCATTGTGAATTCCAGAATGTGTTATCTTCCATAGAGGTGTGAGCCCTGCCAGGATTGTCTAAAATAGCTGACACCAAAAATCATCCCATACTTCTTGATTTTGGCCAGCTACTCCACTGGACTTTTTCTGATTCTTTTAAATATTAGTAAAAAAAAAAGGAAGACCACCATTGACGTCAACATTAAAGCTACCTACATCAGGGCTCGAAAAAGTCTCATCTAGTTGTCCAGGACATGTAGATTGTCTTGGTGGGAAAGTAATTTCAACACTTTAAGCCCTAAGAGTGATCAGCATCAAATTTCTCCTTGTAATATCAGTGCTTTGTAAAACAGAGTGGTCATGAGAATTAAGGACATGATCACACATGAAATTGTTTGATATTTTATCAACTTCTCCCCACCACTTCTGTAGGAAATAAATAGGGGCAACAAATGAGAATTCAAATTTTGATCTTAGGGTTTAAAGGGTTAAAGCACACTTACCCAGTGGGCAAGGGTCCAGGCAAGAGTCAACCATTAACAAAATCATGAACTACGATGAGCAAGAAATGGTGGCCGGCAAGCAAAATGTGATAGCTGCTTCTCCAAAGGACAAGTTTTTTTTCAAGCCCTGTACATTGTACATATACTTCAAATTTTTCCTTCAACCCTTCAAGCCATGTCATTTAGGTAGTTTCTTGGTTCTTTCCCTCAATGTAAGTTCACTGCAGAATAAGAATATCAAATTCCAGGTTAAAAAAATAAATGGTAGCAAACAAGGAGAACATTGAAACTAACTTCCCCTCCAAATGATTCTATATATTCTTTGCATTGTATTAACTTAGGTGCTGAGTATAAGAATGACTGTCCTATCGAAAGGAAGATACCCATCTATCTGATAGTAGCTGGATCTATTGGTGTCTTCCGCAACCTCATCTCGTTATGTCAGAGGGCAAAGAAAAGCGACAATGATGAAGGAGAAGAAGAGAAGAAGCAAAACCCTGTTACTTCCATCCTGGACTGTTTCCTGTTTGCCTGGTTTATCTGCGGCAATGTCTGGATTTACAGTAATTATAAGGATGTAATTCACGATAATATGGACAGTCAGTATTACTGTGATGAAACTTTGTACGCCTTTGCATTTTGGATAACTACAGCCACTTATATTTTGATTGGTGTTATGTGTTGCTGTGTTTGCTGTGTTGGTGTGTGTGCAGCTATTTTCAGCGAGGAATGAAAAATGCTCAACTAGAGCTGGTGTGATCCTGTTCCCACTTCACCTTGTTAGTGATAGCATTAAGAAATGATAAAATCTGCTTAACGGTCATCTCACTCTGTCACTACCAGGAAACACCAAAATTAAATTTAAGGAAAAGTCACTAACACTCCAGTTATGAGTTCACTATGACTGCTGAATAAAAGAAGTGAAGATGAAGTAAATATATAGGTGGTTTTCATGCAATCTCGGGAGACACAAATAACAGTGGTGAAATGAACAAATACTGGTGGACAAACAAAGCGAGCTAATTAGTGATCTTTAATTTACCGTTCACCAGCGTGGCGGCAATGATGTAACATGAAAACCACCTATTCACAAATTCCATTGAGAAGAAGACCTGTTTATCACTCTGTTGTGTATTTTCATATGTTTAACACTTACTTGCTGGAATTTGTGAATATTTTACTTTGTGTTAAGGCTAGTCGTGTGTGAGTTTGTCGTTAATGTTTGTATTCAGTGGTAATTATAAATTCGAAACTGGACCATTTCATATTAAAAGTACAGTTGACTCTCGATAACTTGAACCCTCGCTAACTCGAACCTCGCGCTAACTCGAACCAAAATCGATTTCCCCTGGATTTCCGTCATACATTTACTGTAATTTTACCATCGCCAACTCGAACCCTCGATAACTCGAAACTCCCGCTAACTCGAAGTAATTTTTGTTTCCCCTCAGATCACTTCCATATAATTTTACCCTCGATAACTTGAACCATGTTTTGAGCCCTTAAAAAGTCGGGAAAAAACAGTGGACTGCCTCCGAAACATTGACTTTTGAATTTCCCACTGACGTGTTGTAGGCATCTAGTTTACCAGTGGATCGATAGTGGAGGCTGATGTTGTGTGTCACAAATCTAATGTGAAATAGCTTTACTTCTCAAAAAGTAAAATGCATGCTCTATTTAGGCAACGTTTTGTTAATTTAAGTTCTGATTTATAATCTAAAAGTATCTTTCAATTTTCACTCAACATTTCTACAATTAAATGTGATTAAAATGCTCACTGTACAGTAAAAACTGTTTTTTTTCCTTACTTGCGGCTATTTTCTTCGAGCTCCTGATAACTCGAACTCCCGATAAATAACTTGAACCTTTTTCGATTTCCCTTGAAGGTTCGAGTTATCGGGAGTCAACTGTACTCAGCTAAGGAAATTTCTTTTCATGTTTGATTATACAGTTAATATAGTACCACATGAAAGTACTGCCCAAGAGACTGGTGTCATCTAAATGGAAGTTCACCACTTTAGAAACTGGGGCGAGTTAACTTTCACAAAGACCTCTGGGATTGTTATTAGAGGCAGGAAAAATTGGCCAAAAGCTGACCAACGTTTCAACTGTAAAGATCCTAGAAACAATTACCTCTTCCTCATTTCAGTTCTCACTTCTGGCATGTTATTTGGTGCACTGGCAAAGTCAAAATCTTTAACCCCTTAAGTCCCAATAGTGACCAACATCAATTTTCTCTTAACAATATCCATACAATGTCAAGAGATGAGGTTATGAGACTTAATAAAATGATCACCTAAGAGAAAATGCTTTGATCTTTTATCAAATTCTCTCAACTCATTCTTTAAGGAAATGTGTAGAGATCAGTTTGGGGAATTTGTACATGTATATTGGGGCTTAAAGGGTTAAAGACACTCCAAAAATAAGTTGAGAGTGAAATAGTTCAGGGCAGGATTCCCCCCGGGCCACTTCCCTAGATTTGCATCTGTAGTTAAGAGTGAAGTGCTTATTACAAGTTTGTTAAATGAGCCTTGTTTATCAAAGCATTTATAATTTATAATTTGTAATTTGTAATTTTTTAGTTTTAATTTTTTCGATTAATTTAAAATTCAAATTCTTTCCTTTGAGGCCAATTCATTCCTAACATGTGAATACCTGAAGGGTATTTCAGGGGTTGCTAATCTGGCTTGAGATATGCAAGTGTGTCACTCACTGGTTGATACAGTTGTTTGCTTTTTCTAAAATTCTAAAATAATTTACTTGTGAACAACAGTAAACTAATATGATAAGAATTTCCCACTACCAAGCAGTTTTAAGTTGCACATGAGTTGTAACATTTGCATAAAAGGGGAAGGGAGGGTGGTGGGGTCGACGCTGTACTTATGACTCATCATGTTTTCTATACTCTCCTCTCATTCTTGTCCAATGATTTCCCATGAGTGTGGTTTTCTTCTTAAATTAAGTGTTATTGCTTAAGGGGTAGGGTTAGTGTCTTGTTTGATTACCGCTAAAGTACATTGATGTACCATGTTTAGTTTCCATAGTAACTGTGTGATGCAGTTGATGATAAAATATTATTTAGCACTTTTAATTTATAACCTTCATGACTTCTTTTCCTGTAGCATGTCAGAGATGCTTCATGAAAGAGAAAATACTACTTGGAAAATAGTAATACCCGTATCCTGCTTAAGTAGGTCACACTAGATTATTTCACTGCAAAAGCCTTGTTTAGGAGCAATGTAAACATGTAAGGCTCTCACATGAATGAATTCCCCGTTGGTAGGAAACCCTACAAACAATGAAGAAATTAATCCAGTGGAACCTTTATATAATGAAGATCTATATATCAATTAACAATTTTCTTTACCCCAGTAATAGTAAAATATAAAAGACGGTATAGCGAGCAAATTTCGCCAGACCCTTGGTGCTTTGTTATATTAAGTTTCCATTGCAGTTTGCCATTGACTTTTATAAGGGCTCTTGTTTGTGCAAGAATGTAGCAAACAGTTTATTTGTATTATTTAATCAAAAGGTTGAAGATGGTGTGGTTGATTCAAGTTAAGAAATCTAGTCAGTTATGTCAGTAATAGTATTAATCTGGCTCATAATGTAACATGGCTACGTAAAATGAGTTAAAATAAATAAAATTAGTGGAAATAATCATGAATAATGTGAGTAGTTTTTCCGTATTTTTGTAGCAATAAAACTCTCTTTAATTTGAAGTACGTGTTTTGATGGATAAAATCATCTTAACATCTCAAATACATCTACATTCAGGAAATCTTAAGATGACATATTAAATGATCCTGAAAGGCATCCTGAATTTATATGTAAGATGATCCCTAAGAGGACCCCGAGGGGGGGAGGGGGTGGAGGGTGGTACTTCCTTATAAGAGGCTAATGGGGATGTGCCGCTGGATGGGGTCGCATTTTCACGACTGGATTGACTATAATGGATCGCATTTTCGATAGAGTTATCAAGGAGTCGCACATTTTAGGATTTTTGGGGTAAGAAAGTTCTTCATATTTGCGGTTAGCAAACGTACCAGAATGTTTGTACTGTAGGTGAAAAGTAAAGTGTTCTTCATTCAATTTAAAAAATAGGTCAAATCATTTTAGGATGACCTATATAAGATAGATACATTACTAGAAATTGACTAAGTTGGGATAGCGAAAATCACATTTGCCCAAAAGTGACTAAAATGGGGTCTCTAATTGGCCACAGAATAGACTATAATGGGGTAGGGGCTCTGAGAGGGCAGCGGCACATATCCGGCAAAAATTAACATAAGTAACGCCCGGGAAGAGGACGTGTTGCAAGGTTCCAAAAAAAAACAAACAAACAAACAAATAATCAAAACGTAAAGTTGAAAGTTTAAGATCAGCAAATCAGCCAGATTAAGTCCTAATATAATAAAAAAGCATTTGCAGTAAAAAAAGCTGATCTTTTCGAGATCAGCTTAGAAAGCCAGCGATGTAGTCAACCTTAATTTTCCCTTTTCTGAAGATGGAGGCCGTTGAAACCAGCAGTTAATGTCCTACTTAGTCAAAGTAAAATATTTCGAACCGACGCACTTTATGCTTGTACAATTTAGGTTGACAAGAAGACTTAACTGTTAGTAAGTGTCTGAAAGGGTCATCATTTTTCAACGGAAAGTATTCAAGAGGGTACTTTTTTCTGCCAAAAATGGTGTATAAAACAGTGTATAAAAGCCTAGGGTATTTAAAAAGGGGTTAGATCTCGGGGCGGAGCCTACCAATATAAAACGTTGCTCCGTAGACCTCCAGCGACTTGAGATGCCTCCTCCGTGCAGTTAAGACCTTCGATATCTCGTGGGGTACTCAACCACGTTTTATACTAGGATCGGAGGATCCGCACTGAGGTGCAACCCCTTACCCTTTTACATACCGTTTTTGACAGATAATGTACCCCTTTATGTAAATAAATGACTAAACTAGAACATTTTCTCGACTTTTTCACAGCCATAAAAATCCCTCCTGAAGTCCTTTTTAATAGGTTTTTAAGAAGGTTACCCTTTTTACAGAACGGGCCAAATTGAGGCCTCAAATGTAATAAATGACCCTAGTCGCTGACTGAAACATGCGACGGTCTGATGCGATATTAATTTTATAGCCAGCTGGCGATTCACTTTCTTCGCCCTGTTGTAGTCTTCATAGATATTCATAAACTTAGAAAGCGGCTAGAGCGCTCAAGAAGTAGGAAAAACATTTATAAATTAACTACGTCTAGGTTGTGTTTCCTAGTACATCCCTACATCGTAAAACGCGAGTTCACAAAAGTTTTCAAAATACAGTAGTAATTTAGCAATTGAAGGAAGTATTAATGTTCATTAGAAACAATCGTAGTAAATTAACTACTTTTGCCTATAGGGTTTTTTAATGTTGGGCCAAAAAAAGAAATGGTTTATTTATTTATTTATTTATTTTTATCATTTTCCAAAAGAGTATGTCGGTCGGTCCATACAGAAAGCTGTGAACACAAAGTTATATATAGACAGCAAGATATTAAGGGCAGTGTATCTTGATAGTTTTTCTGACTTCCTGACTTTGATTTTAATTTCTACGACCCTAAGCATAATAAGAGCTGAAAGAATTACACTTAGGACCTTTATTACATTTTCATTTAGGACCTTTATTATTTGAAGGACCTGAAAATTTGAGGCCTCAACACCCCTTTCGGGCGCAGCCTTCCCGTATAGGCAGGCCATCATAGGGAGTGCTTCCGCCGCCGGGGTTCAATAGCTTTAAAATTAAAAGAGTAAACTGATCCTTACGGCAGGAAGAGTAATGGAAAAAGTATAGAAAGAAAACAAAATTGAAGTGGTGAATTATATTTCCCCATATTTCGAGCTACTGCCGAGTCGCACAGCAAGGCTTGCCGTGCTACACACGGCAGTAGCACGACTTGGTTTCAAACGTCGCGTTGCTGCCATGCTAAAGTTGAATAAAATAGGACGACGTTTGAAACGGGCCTAAAATAATTAAAGGCAGCAGGAAAGCCCATAACAGGAAGTAACCGGACCAGAGGCGAGGGAACAAGTTCCATCACTGATTAGCAACCGGCCACCCACCAAATTACTCCAACTTCGTTGTTAGAAACACGCCAAGAATCAAAACAGGATCAAGATCAGATGTCATTTTGGTGCCAGGAGCCGAAACTCAATCACACAATACAGACACCGAGTATAAATTTGTTAACTGCCAAAATTAAATTTCGCGCCTTTTAGTAGTAAACTTTTTGGAGCCAAGTTTTGCATTTAGACATCAAAGATTTTCTGGTTGACCATAATTTTTCCTTCTTATAAAGGTGAAACTATCGTTCAGTGAGATTGATAGGGAAGAATTTTGGAAAACTTCAGATACTTGGGAGCATGGGTGAGAGTTGAACGTTTCAGGTGGTTGCACCTGGCATCTTGCATATTAATATATTCATATTTTCTTTCATTCAAACTTCCTTCAACTTCTCATTGGTCGAATTTCGCCCTGTTATTGTTCACAATCAATGGCACGGCGTTGTCGATCTAAAGATCAAGGAGCGACCGTTTTTGAAATTTGTAGACCTGTTTAAGTTTTTGTTTTAGTTTTACTAGGTGATTTGGAATTATTTGATGGCAAAGTACAACTGTTAGAAGTTCCTCTCGCCCTTTACACTGGAAATGTCACCGCAATTTTGTCACAATATCGTTGGTCTTCGCGTTGGTCACTGGCTGTTCATTTGAGAGACTGAGCGAATAATGGTGAGTTGTTTATATGTCATAGGCTAACCTAATGTAATATCAGCGAAACGAATTGCTTTAAGCTTGATTTCCTGAATTTATTGGCCGCGTTATCAGTGTTCCGGGGCGATTGCAGTGATGAAGCCTAAATATATGTTGAATCCTTTTGTTTCACGGGTCTATGTTGTGTACAATTCCGGACTCGTTAAATTGCGCTTTTGATGACTTTTAGACACAACATTTGCATAATTTCGCCACTTTTAATTCAAACTATACTTTAAAATAGGGGGCCATATGGTAAAAAAAATTATTTAGTTAGTCGTTCGCGTCCGATTTGAGAGGAGTCAGTCTTCACCTCCTAATTCAAGTGACAGAATGCAGTTCCTGAGAATCGCGGGCGATGATGTGGAAAAAACTCACAAAAAGCCTAAAAAGCGAATTGAAAAGGTACGAAAATACATCCATTTTATTTACCCTTTATGTGTAGCTTTCTCATAAGCACTGGTACTACTGAAGTGAAGTATTTTAACGGCTAGGAGTTTTTTGTTTCTGACAAAACAACAATTAGCCATAGGGCTAAGCGTCGGGCTAAGCTCGATCAGTTTCAGATGAATGCGAATGATTTATTGCTTGAATAATTCGAGAGAATGATCTCTTTTCTAAAAGCAAGTGTGCGTATGCGGGATTATTGCTGTTTTGTGGCTATATTGTACAGTTTATCCAGAGTAAGTTACGATTATTTGTAGCAATTTATAAGCCTTTGGTCCCTTAAAGATAGATTTAATGTACCATAGTATTTGAAATGGGCTTATTACTCACGTAAATGCTGGAAAATAATTCATTTTCTTTCGAATTTTAGTGAATCGTCCAGAAGGTTTTTGCACCTGGACGTTTCTAATGTTTCCAGCGATTAGCATTTGTGATAATGTGAAAGCAATAATGCTCTTTCAATTTACAGTATTGTTTTAGCAAAGGGTGCAAATGTCATATAAGTTTTAGTGTTTGTTATCCAAACTCATAAGTTTATGGTTTCGATGCCTTCTTGTAAAATAGAGCATATAACTAACACGAGATAATATACTCAACTGACTAAAAAACAAATGTCCCATTTGTACATAATTTTAGTTAATACTCATTTATCATTTGTACTCTTTGTTATTTGAATTGACGCCTACAAATGAGAACAAAACATTTGCATTATTAGTAAACTCTGGTTATATTTTTTGTGCTATCCCAGCCTGTGAAGCAGTTGTTTTATTTCTACAGTGCATAAGGTTTGAGGAAGTATGAGGGCTAGAAAAGGAAAATAGAAAAGATGGAGTGGAATGTGGAGTGGGGTTGGTTAGGAAGGGAAAGACATGTATGCATATGATGTTTATTTTCTTGGAAGTCAGCCACCCTTGAGTTACTACCTTATTCTCACTGAATTTCGCCAGTAATAAGTTTGGGAAAAATTATGAGCCAAATTTTGTGAGTGTTATATTTTGCGGGAAAGGTAGAATTGGAGTGTTTTAAATTTAACGATTCTAATATGTAAAGCTGTGATGACTTGTTCATTTTTATCAGCTTCGACTCAGCTTTGTCTGCTCTTGCTCCTGAATTTAAGTGAGAATAAGATAGCACCCTGGAATAACAGCTGTACTTAGGAACAGAACATTTATGAGTGCTGCCTCCAAACAAGACAGGAATGTGGCTATTTTTGATTTCTTACATTTATAACTACTGGAATGCTAATATGGCTGATATTGGTATTTCATTTCATTGGCCTAGAAAACATAATTTTTGTGTCATTCAGTTGAAACAAACAAGCGATAAGAGCGGCATTACTGGTCCACAAAAATCAGTCGTCACCTTCTATCTCGCACTGTATTTTCCTTCATCATACAGTTAAAATAAAGCCAAACTGTGATGCCCACTTATAGACTGAGGTGACAAAAATAGGACAACTCTGGTTAGGATGGCCAAAAGGAGGCCGTGCATGCAGCTGGCTGCTTGGTGGAGGTGACCGCTTTCTAAAATTGTGTCAGGGTCACTTTGATTCAATAATAGAGTATGGCTGCTCAGTGGAGGCTCAACTGTATATGTTTAATTTAATTACCTTTCTCTCATAAAATACCTTGTTTTAACACCCTTCCTCCCCCTGCCAAAAAAAAAAGAAAGGAAATGCGTAAGCTTTTTTTGCTTTTTCGTTGGAACAAATGTAATAACCAGGAGAAATTGAATACAATTCTTAGGCAAAGTTTGTGTACAAACAAGGTTTATTATGGGCAATGTAAGAGCAGTGAACTTTTAAAAAATTAATGTATCCCAGAGTACTGGTAATTAGCCAGCCCCATAAATAAGAACCAAATCAACCTGTAAAACATAATAATAAATAAACTTATTAACGCTGTGTCACTCTTTAGAAGAAATTACATATTGGAAGGCTGATGACCTCCTCCTTTGTTTTGTTTTAGTCTGAAAAAAGTAGTCAAATTCACGAGGAAGAAGATAAGATCTGGCCAGAAGATGGTCCTCCACCGAGCTATGACTCTTTGTTTGGCCAGATCAAAGAGGCTAAGGAAACTTCTGATGGTTCATTTGACTTCTGCAAGAGAGTTATACAGCTGTTTGCTGGAACAAGTAAGAAGTATAATAAATTAAATTCAATGTACATCATGATACTAACTTAACTGATGTCAAAGTCTGACATTTTATTCTAAACTATCTCTGTTCATATTCCACAGTTGGCTGTACCATTGCTCTTAGTTTATTGATGGCTTTGCCGATAGCCATGGTGATAATGGGTAAGACAAAAATAATATTTCTTTGGTAGTTAATGAAAGGAATTTTTGTGCAGCCTTTTTCTTACATGTTTTACTAGTTGGTTGTCAATTATAGGCCATTTATTTACCTGATGGAAGAACATATAAAACGATTGCATCATAATGGCTTACAGTACTTGAAAAATGAATAAAATTAATTAAAATCAATATACATGTATTATCATCAGTTAGTTAAGCTTGCCTGACTGTCAGTAATTAAGCTTTTGGCAAACTGTTGAACGTTCATTAGCTGACGGACTATTTTTAGGAGACCTTCTCTCTAGCTTTACAGGAACGAGTGGCATTCTTTTTATGATTCCCCAGACAATTATTTGTAACAATATCTATTTTCCCAGGTGCCAAATATAAAGATGATTGTCCTGTGGAGCCATTTATTCCTATTTACCTCATCGTTGGAGGATCATTTGGAATGTTAAAAACCATTATAGTGCTTTGCCAAAGAGCAAGAACTCACGAAGACGATGCTGACATTGATGAAGATCAGTCCATGTCCACTAAGTTTATAGATGGTGTCTTGAATCTGTTTTTGTTTACTTGGTTTATTGCTGGAAACATTTGGGTGTATAGTAAATACAGGCCAAATCCCACTCCGCCACCTTCAGATCCACTTAACTACTGTAATCCAACACTCTACTTGTTTGCATTTTGGGTAATCACGGCTAGTTACATACTCATGGGTTCAATATGTTTCTGTATATGTTGCCTTGGAGTGTGTGCAAGTTGTACAGCTTTCTTTGTCACAGCCAAAGATTAGGGTATAAATAATAAGCAACCTTCTCACATTACATCACCTAACAAAATGCAGGTTTTCTTTTGACTGGTTTGGAGTCCAGTTTTCAACAAATGCCTCAAGATGCATTCATGTTTCATGTAGACGATTTTCGGTATACCAGGGAAAAAAATTCTGTTAAATTTCAGTTTGTACATTTATTTCTACATTACATGTATGTTGATCACTTATTTTGGGAAAATGACTCTCATTCTTAGACCCCCCAGTCTACAGCAATTATTCTAGGTCGGGCGTTTATTTTTACACATATTTTTTTGCAAGATTTTCATTTTTGGGTTTGTGAGACAGATGTGAGTAAACTGAAAGATAGATGTAAGTTACATAACAGTTTATTTGGCTTTCACTACACTTTCACTACACTTCACACGGGTGACCACATCCCGTAAATGCACAACCCTTAAGTCTTGGCATTTTGTGGGATCACTTACAGGAGGTTTGACTGCAGTCAGTACCCCCCAGAAATTGAAAATATTATTTATTTTTCAATCATAACATGACTGTGCATTATGTAGTAGCCCACAAGTAAGCTTTTCAGTTGAAGCCTTAAAGGAAAAGCAGCTAGAGGCCTCAAAACATTTTGGTAAGAATAGCAAATTATTAGTCAACTGGGGATATAACTGCGATGATCATCGTTCATTTAATTCTTCACTCGGCACATCACGTATATGATTTTCATATATTCATAACTTCATCATCATGGGCACAATGAGGTCACACACAACAGGAACATTATCAAATTATTTAAGTGCCCTCTATGAGTAAATCTTGAACTCTGGGTCACATTCTGACTCAACCACAAGTTCTGTAAAACTACTTGCTCACGTGCTTTATAATTAATGTGATCAGCCCCTCATTTCTTCCTCCTAAGAGCCTCAACTGAGAGCTTGCTTTCGGGTAAATTTGACCTTATGCATTTCACATGGTGCTCTAGAGTTATTAGTATTACGATAAGATAAAACTTTCATTATTTTATAGAATTTTTTAAATGGTTACTCTTGGGAATAGGATCTTTAAAGGTTAATAATTATATTATTCACAAATTTATTTAGGTTAACTTGATTTATTAAAATAGCATTCAAAGCTCAAGAGAAACTAAACTCTGGTTTGTACGGAGGTTAACAAGAGTTTAGTTTTGTCTGCGCGCAGGCTACCTCACAGCAGCAAAATGAGTTGGTGTGTCTGGGTTCCAGAGAATATCCATCCTTCTGCCCTGGACATTTTTTTTTTGGCTGAAATGTCCCACCCTCATCCCCAGAGGAATCCCAATTGCCCAATTCAGAAACTCTAGGAAGACTGGGTACAAGCTTTTGGGACAGTGTTTTTTGGCATCGTTATTGTAGACAAATGTTATACAATCATTCGCCAATCATCAGCCTATAATTTCTGGAAATATGGGGAATTTGACTTGTACATTTCCTTTCAAACAGTCTCGCATTAAAGACCCTCCTCCTCCTTGGAATATGACATTAATTGGAAGAGCATGAATATTTTCTGGAACAACACTCACTTTTTCATCATGGCTGAAATTTCTCTTAACTGGTTTGGAGGGAAAATTGAAAATTTTCAGCCAGAATTATTTACAATAACATTATTTAAATTGTGTAACAAGGGTTCCACTACTGTTATGATATTTATCGGTTACATCTGGGATGGAATATATATTTTTGTTCGTAATTTTCTTTATTTTTTACTGTTCAGTATTGGCTGAGGTTGTTTCAAATGAGTCTTCTACGACTTGAGGTTTGAGATAAACTGAAAGGCATTTAGGTAGTGATGGCTGATTTCAACATGTTTCACAATGGAAGGAAGGAATTAACACTACATATTTTTGGAAGTTGTCAAACTGTTTGCCTGGGACTGACGGCAAGGCCTGTACGCAATACTTTATAATAAGGCCAAAATACTGATAGAGCGGTTTTCACTTGACTGTCGTAAAACCAAAACCAAAGTAAAAACACTAGCCAACCAAAGGGCGTAGTAAAACCAAAACCAAAACCAAAACCAATCCCTTTCGACAGTCAAGTGAAAACCCCTCTAGTAAAACAAAAAAGAGGAGGATATATTGAGAATGGGAGTGAAGGCATTATTTGGTCTTCATGCTCTCCCGGAAGCCAAACAAATTTAAAAACAGGGCCTCGTTACTGGGGAAAACTAAACCATGTATTAACGTGTTAGCCTATGTGCAACCACACCCTCCCCCCAACAAAGGAAAAACTTTGGCGGGGGAAGGGTGTGGCTACATGTAGGCTATTCATATGTCTGTGACAACTTGTAAGGATCAATCATCACATGACAGGTACATAATATGAGAAAAAATGGAAGGAGAACGATTAATGTGTTTGGCTCTTCAATTGTTAGTAGTCCAAGATCCTTATTAAGTGGTTGTATGAATGAAGCCATGAAGACGTATTTTTGTGAGAAGTATGGATAATAAATTAACGAAAACTGACTTACAGGCTGATTATTATTGTTACGTATTAATTTTACACTACCTCAAAAACTCGCAGAGGACCGCCCATTCACATGCAGTGAAGGTAACTAAACATACTTGACTTTATATAACAGCATAAGTGCCAAACAAAATAAATTATTGTAACATACTTCTTAGCATGAGTTCTACATTGCCAATGAAAAAGACAGCGACGTTTCAGTAGTACAGTGGACAATCAGTTAATGGACCCTCTCCTAAGAGAACAGCTCTTCTCACGGCTGCCTTCACAAAACCCCCTTTCGACTCCCATACAAACTTTGTATACATACATTCCCATCAGCGGACAATTCCCGTAGTCGGCCCAGGCACTCTCAAGATGTACGAGTTAGATTTTAGTGTTGTTTTTAAGCGCCAGTAAGCGGACACCTGAAAGATGAAATCTTTTCGCCTCTGAATCTTGTATTTTGATATATATCAACTTCATTTCGCTGTTGGTGACATTAAATTTATATCAGTTTCGATGTTTGTTGTTGTTTTTGGAAACACGTCCAGTTGTTACACTTCAAACACCACTTGAATTTTATGCTTGTGACTGAATTACTACCATTGTCCTTGTGAACAACAGAATAGCCAAACACTAACAAACTTTTTTTCCTTTTCCAATGTTTATTTGTAGTTGGGCAAGCTCCTGTAAGCAGCCACTTAGGCACCGGTCATTTATTTATCGCCTGGGGTGGGGGACACTTGATTTCCAGGAGAACAAAAGGGGTGATCAGTCATAACTAAAAACCAAAAAAGGGGTGACCACTGAAGACTTTGGAATGATTCAGAGGGGGGACCACATGAATTTGCTTGGAAAATGAAGACATGGTGGGGAGGGGGGATCGTGAAAGTCATCAATTGTTATTAGGGGGGATCACTTCAGTGAAGTAACATTCAAAGGGGGGATCGGCTAAATTTCACCTTGTTTAGGGTGAATAATAATAATGACCGGTCCCTTAACCCCTTACATTTCTAGTGGCCAGCTCCAGTAACAGACACCTTTTTCACACCTAAGGGTATCCGCTTATGAGAGCTTCCATTATAATGGAGTAGATTTAGGCAGCGTTCACTTTTGGTGCCCAGGCAAGGTGCCCGATTACGGTACCCACTGGGCACTAATCCCCGTGAACACGCCCCTTTTTTGAGTACCCATGCTAATATTCGGGGATGGTTCAGGTGCCGGTGTACAAGGTCAAGACCTTCTACTCGGGCACTAAAGTGGGCAGTGGGTCCTTGTGTGTACACCGTTTTTGTTATTTCTGGAGCGATCCACTGCTAAGCTCCGGAGGGCGAGGGACTCCGCATATGAAAGGGGTGGGGATGCTCGTCGGAAATTTTGAATTAAACCCCTAAAGGAGACCGATATGGGCTTGGCTCAAGCTTTTTTGGACCCCTAAAAGAGACCGTGTTAAAACACAGACAATTATATATTTTTATATTTTTTCGCGTGCAACCCTAAACGAGACCTTCACGGCTAAATATGATGACCTTTTGCCCAGAACACCCTAAGTGAGACCAAAATCCGGAATTTACACCCCTAAGCGAGACGACGAGCATCCCCACCCCTTTCATATGCGGAGTCTCTCCCCCCGGGGTGCTAAGCTCATGTTTCAAAATGGCATCTGACCGCGGGGGAGAAGGAGTAACTATGTTCACATCCACGTATCGGGTACTCAAGGTGTGAATACAAAACCATTTTGTGCCGGTACCCAGGCACTGGTTTCCAGGCAGCAAGTGTGGGCAGTCTCTTAGACTCACGTTTAGGGCAAATGTTAATTTGTACAACATGACCGAGTGCTCCCTTTACTGGTCGTTCGCCAATCATCATGTGTACACGAAAAAAGTAGTTTCATTCATAACATTTATTCTGGATAGTTTATCTTCTCATTTTTTTTTAATTTGAGAAATTGTCAACGTGAATCTGAGTTTTGTCATGAACGCGATTTTAAATCTCTCTTTATCTTTGTTCAGGATCGTACTTAATCTGAGGCCCTGCCAGGGTAAATTCCGACAAGCGACATGGCTCAAAAAGTAACGACAGGGCGTAACATGAAATCGCGACAAGAGACAACCTCCCTCGGCCAAATTGCGACAGTGACGGCAAAGCCGACAATAAGCGACAAGCATGTATAAACACCGACGACACGAAACGTTTTAAAATTCACAGGAGGGGCGACATGGGACCCCCCCCCCCACCCTGGCAGGGCCTCTAATCTGGTTCCTGAACGTGTCTCTTCGTCGTCCCTTGCCATTCATGGTAGAAGAGGAAACGGGGACCCTGGCAACAACCACAGCGAAAACGGCACTTAATATAAAAAAGGCTTTTTTTCAAGTTTTGTTGCAAGTTTTGTTCTCATTTACCTTTACGGACACCTCTATAATACGGACATCTCAGTTTGGTTGGTCTCAAATGCCAAAAATCAGATGAATTTCTTTGTAAAGCGGACACTTGGTGTTGAATTAAATTTCTTTGGTGTTGAAGACCACACCTAACACCACACCATGTCGTAGTCGTGCAGTAACGGCGAAGAAATACACAAAAAAGTGTACTGCAGAGGGAGAAATGATGAAAAAGGCCGTTGCCGTCCTCGTTGTGTTTCACCACATGTAAAAGGATTTAAATAAAATCTGCTAACCTCACTTAAGTTAAGTGTTTCTTCTTTCCCGTGTGGTTCCCGTTTCGATTCACGGCCATTTTATTCGTTCAAAAAAATTGAGCTGGTTTGTTCTCTCTCATGATAATCCTCAAAGACTTCCTCTCAGTCCTGGCCGCGTTCCCCAGGCTTGAACAAATTTTAAATCAAGTTTTTTAAATCCTGAAAAATCAGGAGCCCATATTTTATATAACAGGGGCGGTCAAGGGGATGATCCTATACAACTGGTATTTTGCGAAAAAAAAAAAAAAAAACTATTTGGTTTATTGGTGTTGAATATAGAGATGATCTAAAAAAAATGGATATATAACAAAGTAGCCTTCCACGCGGTACAGTAAAAACCCGCGACAAACAAACCTGCATTTTCCCAAGTTAACCTAAACAGGTTCTTACATAAATGTATGCAGGTTCTTAAATAGGTTCTTATTTTCTGAAAAAAAAAACTTTGAAACTAAGAGTATTTAGTGGTGTATGCAACTTTACTCCTTATATAAAATCTGTACATCATTTCATTGCAGTTGGGGTGATAAGACACCATGATGTCTCCAAATAGGATTCTGAATGTTGACTTATCTTATTTGCTTAAGTGCAAAATTTTTATATTTATTTACAGATTTTAGAAAATAAGAATCTGTTTGAAATTTTATAGGAAAATTCATTACCTGACGAGGGAATTCCGCGTTAAATTGCACGCGAAAACCGATATCGCGATGAGTGCGATATCGGTTTCCAAGCGCAATTTAACAATATTGTTTGTTTTTATTCTGAGCGCGCGCTCCAGAAAGCCATTTCAAAGTCAACTGAAAAGTCAACTGTCAGAACTGTCATTGCGCATGGATAATAGAAAGACTCTTTCTATTATCCATGCATTGCGTTAGCAAATAGGAAGCAAGGTCAGTCGTACACGTTTGAACCTTCGACAACTTTTTTTGTACCTTGTGCTTGTTTTTACATTTGTTTTCAAACTTTTTTACATGTAAACAAGCTTCACACTAATCGTGAGGATAAATAGAGGTATTTTACTGAATTTAGAAGCCGTTTATGTAGAACGTCTTTTTTCAAATTGGTCATTTGCTCGAGAAGGAAAATAATTTACACCTTTTAACCTCTTCGGCGGCAAAACTGAAAGAAATGAAGTGTCCAAGCGAAAGCCGACTGAAAGTTTAACGTCGCGATTGATAGGAGGTAAGTATCTTGAAATGTTTTAGATATGCTGTTCAAGTTCAGCTCTGTTTTGTACCTTTCTAAGTACCACGATTCAGGACGATTGCAAGCGGCGTACTCTTTTTCGTGTTCTCAGGGGCCATGTCGTCTTTGAAGGTATTTATTTCTTCTTCTGTATATGTGACAATCGACCCCGGCACTTCCTCCGTTGTCGCTTCTCCGTTTTGTTTGGTTGAACTTTGGCTTGCCATTTTCTGGGCCGTGTTCACAGGATTGCTTCGCCTCGTTTTCAACTCGCAATTCCACATTAAATACTTCGCTTCGTTAACCAATCAGAATGCCAGATTTTACTTAATTATGCGATTACGCTAAACAGGTTGGTTCTTTCCTGTAGCCTCGTGCATAATAGGCATTCAGATGAGCCAAGCTTCACGTAAAAAGCCGCGTTCGAGTTGCTCATCAAAACGCCTCATGCAGGCTACCCATTTCATAGGCTTCTTCACGCGTTCCTTCCCAACAAACTTGGGGAACTGGGAAACTTGACCGCAGAGGCTCAGCTCCCCCTGAGATTGGCCATAAAAATAGCAACAAAAAAGGTATTAAAGCGCACGGTGGATAGTCCCGCTAACCCTAATTTTAAGTACAAAAAACACACACACACACCTATAGGCTGAAGTGAGTTCTTAGGAGCCACTGACAGCGAATCTACCACTTCCTCTTGCTATACTACATTTATTTCGCTGGGTCTGCTAAATCACGAGCCGAAAAGAATGCAACGAACAGCAAACAGCCAATATCGGTCTCATTCTCAACACTCTTAAAGAATAAAAAAATACTTACTTACGTTGGTGAGTTACTAAATATGATGACAGAAGAGGAAAAGATTGAGACATACAAGTTTTCTGTGAAGTGTATTTCATTTTATGGAAATTAATAAGCCGTACGTCAAACTCAGTGGGCATAAAATTGACTGTTTCACCGGCTTCTTACAGCCAATACTTGCCTCGGTCATACTTTGATAATGTTCATTTACATATAAACACAAGTTAATGTTTTGGTTGCGGTTTGTTACTTGTCGTCATGTTTGTTACGGTCTTCGATCTGGACGTTTTTTTATTGCAACAATTTTGTTCTATGAACACAAACAGGTTGCCTTTAGAATTATTAATAAACTCTAAAACAACGGGATAATTCATTTTTTTGACTAGCGTTCAATAAGTTCTTCAACCATTCGTTGCTCTAAATTAAGTAACTTATAAAGAAACATGATTGGAAGAAAATAAAAACAGATGGACACTGTATGTATTTATACTTCCACGCAAAGAAAAACCACTGACAGCATTAGAAATATCTTTAGGGTGATGTGGATGTAATCTAAGCTGGTAAGTTAAAGACAAATACTTCTTTAGCTGCTGTCTAAAAATTTGCGGGTTTCCGAACCTTACAAAAAGGATTCAGTGACAACACCAACTAAAGCACGAACATCATTTTTAGTACAACTATGCGTTGAAATAATATGCATTCACTTCTTCACTGGGTTGACGTTAAAAGCTTTTATCCTTCCTATAGCTAAGTTCTTTTGTCCGGATGCTTTCATTCAAGTCATTTTTTGGAAAGAAATTTTAAAGTTTTCGTTAACAAGGGTCGTAAACAGGACTCGGAAAACTGCAACCCACCGATCCATCGAGATGCAGTGGTTAAAAACTAAAATGAACCAGTTTTTTTCTCTGAGTGAAGAATTTCCACGAACATTCGGCCGAGATAATGCAAAATGGTTCTCTCGTTTGATGAATAGATGCAACATTCTTAATTTTGAGCTGATTTGAATTTGTATTTGGACATATAGTGCGTGGTAAGTTAGTTTTGTGACTGACGTCTTAAAGCAGCTGAAGATTGTCAGATATTATATGAAGATAATTTGAAACCTAATGTTTGATTCATCTTCTCTTCAGCTGGCATGCTCAGTAAACAGACTTTCGTTTTTTTCATTCAAACTATAAACCACTAACAATTAATCAGCATCTCTAAAATATATATTTTAATGTAGTGCATTTTAATAAATAGTCTCAAAGACAAAAAAAATCTACATCAGTACTCTGTGGATCAATTCAAAAATAGCTAAAAAATCAACAACAACAATCTGTTTCTTGTCTTCTTGGCTGTATTAAGAAGGTTCTTAACGACAGGCTTTAATGTTAATATAAGTAATATGAGAATTAGCTTTCATCAAATGCACCTGGTGAAAAAGAAGCCTTACATCTTCTCCATCTTGTTTATCATCATATTCATATCTTCGATAATTATGCTACAGAAATTGATGATTTTAAAAGTTGCAAAGCCTTTATTTGTCAATATGTCAATGATCTGGATGTTTATATATGTCAATGATCTAGATGTTGTTTAATTTTTCTTTTAGTTTTAGGCTTTAAATAATGAATGTCAAATTTTGAAAAAAAAAAACATGCTATCATTGCAATCATGAAGTCCCCAGCAGGAGCCATAGTCGAGGTCGGGAGACCGCGAGCGCGAGGCCGGGGTCCACGCGGTTCCATCGAAATTTCCAAATGCCTTAACGTCACAAACTCGCGCGGCTCTCGTGTGGAATTTCGGGAGAGGGGCGATCGTTTTGCGACTTTGTTGGAGTGCTTTCTGAACTTTTTAAGTGCTTTATATCTCGATCGGCAATGCATGTACAGTGGAAAAATGAGCCAATTCGAAACACGTTTATCACAAAAACCCCTCGAAGCTGTAATGGGCCAGCAGTAAGAATAGAGGGGAAAAAGCCAAAGGGAAAATTATGATTAGAAACAAAAACAAAAACAAAACGAAAAAAAATATATACAACAACAGCAAAAAATATTCATCGCACTACATCTCCGACATCTACTTCGTCACTGGATTTTTCAAAAACACTCCCACTGCGGTCTGTTCATGTTGTCCTTCAGCAGCATAATTAAAAATAAATAAAACTGGTCTAGTGAGGCCTTAAAATTTGGGGGGTCACCGAATTCGTTTCGGAGATATAATGTTCAAAAGATCACCCAAAATCTGAGAAATCGGGCTTCGTTACTGCATACGGATAAAGTGCCTGTTTGTGCAAAAAGTTTATAAATAAATCCCTGAATTGCAACGCAACGGCTACCAGCCCTATATGTGCTTAGACAGTTTTCTCAGCGCGCACGCTCGATGCATGACGTGGCGTGATATTGCGCTATGAATTACGTGCGCAGTAGGGATGCGCAGAAACAATTAGCGCGTGTCGCAAACTTAACCAAACAGCCTTGAAAGAAACAAAATACAGCTGTACAAGATCATTTCATCTCTGAATATTATGTCAAGATCACATAACCCACCGTTTGAAAAAGAAACACTTCTCACGCGATGCAAATACAAATATAGGTAAAAAGAAACTGTAAAGTTAATCGTGCAAACATTTTTGCAGAAAAAATTAAAGTAGAAGGGAGCGTGACCTTCCAAAACATCTTTTCTTCAATTATGGCAGACTTTTGTGCTGTAGTATCGGTGCTGCCATGCTGCCCGACTAATCGAGGCAAGAAAAATCTTTGTGGCTTTGCGGAAAAGGCTAGTCGACAATGAGCCTTCGTGGCTTTTTGATTGTCATCGTATGTCAACATTAAAACAGCGGCTGCGTTTGCAGATTGATTGGCGCCGAAAAAAGGGCGCACTTTTCAGTTTAATTTATTTCTTTGGGTCATTCTGCATATATTACATGCCGCAAGATTATGTCATTCCGCAAGCCATGCCACATGCCATTCCACATTTTACCCTCACCGTAGAGATAGGGCATTTGTCTCTAGTGCATTTGCACTCTGTGGAGGTGTGGGATAGGGCTTGTCTGAGCGTGTGGGATTTGTGGGCATGCGTACTGGGATGTTTTCTTTTCTAAAAATGTCAGTGATCCTGTGATTGAGTAAGGGATCTTAAGGTATGACCATTCTGTGTTGGTAGGTTGAGGGTTTCGTTGAAGGTTTTGTGGGGGTTTGTCTGCTCTATACTGCTCTAAACAACTAATGAAGAAACAGCAGACCACTTCCACCATATGATAAACAATGTGCACCTTAATTTGAAATTTGAAATTGAAAAACCAGAAACAACACCGAGTGGCCTGTCATTGTCATTACTCGATTTCAAAGTCGTCATATCCAAGGATTGCAACAGCTCTTTTGAATTCTACAAAAAGCCAGCCAAGAAACCACTATTTGTCCACCATCAATCAGCTATCACCACCAAATCCAAACTCAACTTCATTCGCAACGAACGAAAACGCATCAAGGACAGATGCTCCTCAAATATATCTACAAAACAACACCTAAACACATTCGATGGCATCCTTCACCTTAACGGTTATCCAGAGAAGAGTATAGAGCAGACAAAACGCCCACAAAACCCTCAACAAACCCTCAACCTACCAACACAGAATGGTCATACCTTAAGATCCCTTACATTTCTGAACGACTCAATCACAGGATCACTAACATTTTTGAAAAAAAAAAAACATCCCAGTACGCATTGCCCACAGATCTTACACGCTCCCGATCAGACAAGCCCTATCCCACACTTCCAAGGAGCGCAAATGCACTGGAGACAAATGCCCTATCTCTAACACCGGATTGTGTTTACGAGGAAATGCAGTGTACCAGCTCACGTGTAACAGCTGCGATCAGCAATACATTCGTAGCACGACACGCTTCATCCACGACCGCGTAAGAGAACATCTCAATAATGAAAACTCCTCAGTTAAAAAACATATCTATTCCTGCCAGAATAAAGACTATAAAGGCATTGATGTCAAGATTATCATGAGCGAAAACGACCACGCTAATCTACGCCTCTATGAAGCATTTTACATTACAGTCATTACAAAATGCTAACCTGCACTAAATTCCCGAGAAGAATGTACTGAATTCGCAGACTATTAGTATTTTATTTTAGAGACCATTCTTAAGCACTTTTAGAGGTCCTTTGTCTAGAGACACTCCATCATTAGAGCTTTGTATTCCATTCACAGTTTACTTCTACTCTCACTGCGGTGTTTAACATAAGCAGAATGTATGTTTGTATGTAAATCTCTATTTGCACACGGGAAATCATCAGTTGAGCTTAAGTTAAAAACCAAAACTAATTACAACTGCTTTACAAGATTGCGGTGTGGGAATCCGATATATATTAGCTACTTTCTTGATATTTCGCTAAAAATGCTCAACGGATGCAGCATTGTTTTGAATAAGCGTTTGTGCAACTCAGTATTCTATAACATGGCCCCGCTGTGACAGAATCTTCGTTTCAAATAATTGGTGCTTGGTTTGGACAGGGTCAGCCTTCCCTCAGAGTTTCTTAAGTTGTAAGGAGAGTGACGCTGAGAGAAAAGACTTTGTAGATATTCCGGAGCAAGGTCATTCATGTTTTTATACACCATTAAGGCTTTTTCTTTCTTTCGTCGAAGAGATAGGCTCTCCCAGTCGAGGGTGGAGAGAAGGTGGTTTGAGCTCGTATCAAAGGATGATTTAGTAATAACTGTGGCTGCACGATTCTGTAATTGGTGGAGCTTATCACTCAAGTAACCACTCAAGCAGTCCAAAACGGGGCTGTAGTATTCAAAATGAGGCATAATTAAAGCGCTATAAATTTGAATTGCAGTTTCTTTGGATATAAAGGGCCGCACACGTCTGAGGGCGCCTACAGCTGAAGAGACTTTCTTGCAAATCTGTTCAACGTGTTTACCCCAAGAGAGTTGAGAATCTATGGTAAGACCCAAGGATTTAGTATGATCGACTCAGTTCTCGATAATTTGGTCATCAATTCTGATTTCGACGTCGTCACATTGGGCAGATAGACTTTGTCTTGATCCAATAATCATTAGCTCTGTTTTAGCAACATTTAGACTGAGCTTGTTAGCTTTCAGCCAACAGCAAAGGTTATTTAATTCAGGGGTTAGAGCTAGCTTAAGCTCTGTTAACGTCTTAGCAGATCACGTAAGATTGGTGTCATCGGCAAACATTATTGGTACGGCGCCCCGCAGGGAGTTGGGAAGATCATTAATGTAAATTAAAAATAGCAAAGGACCTAATACGCTACCCTGCGGAACGCCGTAACTGAGGGTACAAACAGATGATAGTTTGTCACTGACATTACATCTTTGGATAAAAATCGCGTGAAACTACTAATTTATGCATAGAGATAATAAACAGTAAACGACAAGTAAAGGAGAGGCTTGGTAACGTGGTACAAATTTGCGTCTGCCTTTTAACGTAAACGTGTTGCTTAACCTCCCTTTTAATTTGTAGACACGCTAGGGCTTGCCTAAGAGAATGGAAGCAAGTGTACTCATTGGTAGGCCTTTCCAGATTCTGCTCCGAAAAAGCTGAAAAGTTGCTAAGAAATATGCCAAAAAGTTGCTCAAAAGTTGCTCAAAAATTTTGTAAAGTTGCTCGAATATAAGACAGCTTGTCTAATTTTAATAACAATTGCTTTGTAACCAACATTAAGGTACAACTAAGTAACTAGTTACAACAAATTAGGCAACCTTTAGTTGACTCTAAGTGGCTAGTTACAAAAAGTTAGACAGTAAGTGTAACAGTCTGGTTTACAAATGTACAATAGCTAACTGTTGTTTTCGTGCGTTTTCACCACCCGCCCCCCCATCCCCGCCCTTACGAGAAGGGAAAAGCCCTGGGAACTAGGACCCAATTCTTGTAATTAATTACCACGTCCACACCATACCCACT